AATATTTGCTAATATTCATAATCCAAATTGGAAAGATGCTTTGAATGCATGGAATATGTATTGTTCTAACATTGATGAAATTTTAGCACAGCCGTTATGGTTTAATCATAATTTTAATACCAAAATCATTATATCAGACATTGGACAAATAAGGGACTATTAACCATCAAAGACATCTGTGATGAAGAAGGTTTTGTTTTGTTTAATCTTTGAAAAGTAATATTAAATAAAAGGGACAGAATTAGATTATAGATATGTTCTAAATATTTTACCTGAATCATGGAAATATACAATAACAAATCACATAACTATGACATGAATGTAGATTCTTATCAAATAATTTCATGAAATCATTACATGGATCAAGATTATTTTATGATATATTGTTATTTAATTTCGTACAAAAAGTTAATTTGACAAATATTTTGGTTTATTTTGGTTCCTTAAGTAAAACCCCATTATTTAATCATATAATCATTTCAGCAAAAATACATATTTATATCTCTTCTTTGAAAAACAACATTCTAAAATGCAATAACTTTATAAAGACTTTACAAGATATTGTATTCTGTTGAAAGCTTCATTGCCAAAAGGAAGAATGAAATGAAGAAATTTTCAAATTAATGGTATCCATTATTCCCAGTATTCAAACCTGACCTGTGTATGCAGCAGCCGCTTTTGTAAAGTCTTGATCAGTTTCCCCTTTTGAAAACTATCTTTGTTTTAGCCATGTAACGATTAATTAGTTAACGTATCTGTAGGTGCACTGATGTAACACTGGGAACATATATTATAGGACGGATATTTGACGCAATATACAACACAATACGTCGGATGTGGCGCAATATACAATACACATTGTATGTGACACAAGACACAGCATGATATGTCAGATGTGACACTATATACAATATATGTCAGATAGGACACTATGTACAACACGATAGGTCCGACGTGACTCTATATACAACATGGTATGTCGGGTGTTGTGCTATATACAACATGATATGTCAGATGTGGTACTATATACAACATGGTATGTTGGATGTTGCGCTGTATACAACGTGATATATCGGATGTTTTCACAATATTCAACATGATATGTCTGTTGTGGCGCATTTTACAACATGATAGGTCAGATGTGATGCAATACACAATAAGATACGTTGGATGTGACCCCATATACAATATGCTCTGTCTGATCTGACGCTATATACAACACTGTTTGAAGACGAAGTTTTTGTCGTCTAGTATAATTGTGAACGAGTTTCCCTGTCGACCTGCACGCGTTGACAAGTGGTGGAGAATCCGGGTCTGACGGTCATGCATCAACACAACCTCTTTGATATTTGTGTGGGGTCTATTATCATAGTTATCACATAACTCTCATCCATATTGAATAAGGACAAGCGTTATGGATGAACAACGTCTTTATTCAAGTGAACAGCTTGATCATTGAATCTACTGAGCCAGGTTGGGGTACCGTGCCATGACATTCTAGTTGTCTCTGCAGGGACGAGCTGTGAATTTGCTGACAGACACTGCAGGGAGACTGAGCGTCTGCTGAGACGAAAGTAGTTAAATGACCTTATATATCCCATTTTCCCGTGGTTTGACTGAAAATGTATGCCTATTTATGGTCATAATTGGGTTTGTGCTCATCTTATTATTCCAGTCTTTTCACATATATGCCAGACATGCGCAAACCATTTGTACAATCAACTCGATGATATAGTGGGTATGGTTGTGTACATATAACAAGTATTTAGATGATTATAATATATACCATGGTCTACACATTACATGTATTTAGATGATTATAATAGATATCATTGTCTACACATGACAGGTATTTAGATGATTATAATAGATATTATTGTCTACACATACCAGGTATTAAGATGATTATAATAGATATCATGGTCTACACATTGCAGGTATTTACGTGATTATAATAGATATCATTGTCTACAAATACCAGGTATTTAGATGATTATAATAGATATCATGGTCTACACATTACAGATATTTAGATGATTATAATAGATATCATTGTCTACACAATACAGGTATTTAGATGATTATAATAGATATCATTGTCTACACATTACACTTATTTAGATGATTTTAATATATATCATTGTTTACACATTACAGGTATTTAGATGATTATAATATATATTATTGTCTACACATTACAGGTATTTACATGAATATAATAGATATCATTGTCTACACATACCAGGTATTAAGATGATTATAATATATACCATGGTCTACACATTACAGGTATTTAGATGATTATAATAGACATCATTGTCTACACATTACAGGTATTTAGATGATTATAATAGATATCATTGTCTACACATAACAGATATTTAGATGATTATAATAGATATCATTGTCTACACATTACAGGTATTTAGATGATTATAATAGATATCATTGTCTCCACATTACAGGTATTTAGATGATTATAATAGATATCATTGTCTACACATACCAAGTTTAGATGATTATAATAGATATCATTGTCTACACATTACAGGTATTTAGATGATTATAATAGATATCATGGTCTACACATTACAGGTATTTAGATGATTATAATAGATATCATTGTCTCCACATTACAGGTATTTAGATGATTATAATAGATATCATGGTCTACACATTACAGGTATTTAGATGATTATAATAGATACCATTGTCTACACATACCAGGTATTTAGATGATTATAATAGATATCATTGTCTACACATACCAGGTAGGTACGAAAATTATAGCACAAATGTGCTGCGTTTTCGCACTGCAACTATGGTAAATTCTCCACCTTTTGGTCATCTTGCCATAACCTCTTCACATAAATGTCAACAACAAATGTATTCTTATAGCCTACGGATTATCTACCACCCATGGCCTTGTTTTCTAATATTTACATGCACCACAAATGCATTAATTATGTACCCATTGTAAAAAAATAAAGTGTTAAAAAAAAAAAAATAATAAATAAAAACTTATAGTCTATACATACACATTTGAATTGATGTCCTCGGGACTCGTCAGGCGAAACCTTTTTATCATGTTGTACATACCATGATTACTGGATATGGGTAACCCGCATTTAAGTAGATTAGATTACATCGTATCAATAGCAATTATATAGACAATTTCACACACTATGTTGTGTATTTATCTTTCATCAGAGTCACATGTTGAAAGTTTAAACGTTAATAGAAACTGTGATGTGAAACCTGCACACAACCAATCAGTAGTTCAGTATATCCACATAACATTTCTCCTTCAGTATATCCACATGACATTTTCTCTTTCAGTATATCCACATGGCACTTATCTTTCAGTATATCCACTTTCAGTATGTCCACATGACATTTCTCTTTCAGTATATCCACATGACATTTCTCCTTCGTTATATTCACATGACATTTCTCCTTCAGTATATCCACATGACATTTCTCTTTCAGTATATCCACATTACATTTCTCTTTCATTATATCCACACGAATTTTCTGTTTCAGTATATCCACATGACAATTCTCTTTCAGTATATATCAGTGACATTTCTCCTTCAATATGTCCACATGACATGTCTCCTTGGGTATATCCACACGACATATCTCTTTCATTATATCCACACGATATTTCTCTTTCAGTATATCCACATGACATTTCTGCTTCAGTATATCCACACGACATTTCTCCTTCATTATATCCACATGACTTTTCTCTTTCATTATATCCACACGACGTTTCTCTTTCAGTATCTCCACATGACATTTCTGTTTCAGTATATCCACGTGGCACTTCTCTTATAGTATATCCACATGACATTTCTCCTTCAGTATATCCACTGGACATTTCTCCTTCACTACATCCACAGGACATTTCTCTTTCAGTATATCCACATGACATTTCTGCTTGAGTATATCCACACGACATTCTCCTTCATTATATCCACATGACATTTCTCCTTCATTATATCCACATGACATTTCTCCTTCAGTATGTCCACATGACATTTCTCTTTCATTATATCCACACGACTTTTCTGTTTCAGTATATCCACATGGCATTTCTGTTTCAGTATATCCATGTAACATTTCTCCTTCATTATGTCCACATGACATTTCTCTTTCAGTATATCCACATGACATTTCTCCTTCATTACATCCACACGACGTTTCTCTTTCAGTATATCCACATGACATTTCTTCTTCAGTATATCCACATGACATTTCTATTTGATTATATCCACACGGCATTTCTCTTTCAGTATATCCACATGACATTTATCTTTCATTATACCCACACGATATTTGTCTTTCAGTATATCCACATGACATTTCTGCTTCAGTATATCCACACGGCATTTCTCCTTCATTATATCCACATGACATTTCTCCTTCACTTTATCCACATGACATTTCTCCTTCAGTATATCCACATCCCATTTCTCTTTCATTATATCCACACGACTTTTCTGTTTCAGTATATCCACATGACATTTCTCCTTCAGTATATCCAGCTGACATTTCTGCTTTCGTATATCCACACGGCATTTCTCCTTCATTATATCCACATGACATTTCTCCTTCATTATATCCACATCCCATTTCTCTTTCAGTATATCCACACGACTTTTCTGTTTCAGTATATCCACATGACATTTCCGTTTCAGTATATCCACATCCCATTTCTCTTTCAGTATATCCACATGACATTTCCGTTTCAGTATATCTACATGACATTTCTCCTTCATTATATCCAGATGACATTTCTCCTTCATTATATCAATATGACATTTCTCCTTCATTACATCCACATGACATTTCTCTTTCAGTATATCCACATGACATTTCTCTTTCAGTATATCCACACGACATTTCTCTTTCAGTATTTGTACATGACATTTCTCTTTCAGTATATCCACATGACATGTTTCTTTCAGTATATCCGTATGACATTTCTCTTTCAGTATATCCACATGAGATACGGGAGAAGTGTCAGAGTGTTGGTATCATTCAGCTGGGTAATCCAAACGGTGAGTTAGTGAGGTTGGTGACGAATCCAAACGGCTTGTTGGTTAGGCTGTTTACGAATCCAAACACTTAGTTACGTGAAAAAATCGATCTCCAGTGGTGAGGTAAGCATGTAGATTCTTACATCGTTATCAAGCTAAATCCACTTTTAGCTTGATAACGATGTTAGAATCCACATCAAAACGTCACTCTATGTAATAAATAAGAAGTTGTCATCCATAAAGTTGTATGTTTCATTTTTGAGTCACCAACTTCTAGAATGCCCATCAAACAGTTAGATAGGTTGGTTATGAATCCAAACAGTGATTTAGAGAAGATGGAATTGATTACGTGTGCAAACATTGAGTTAATTGTTTGGCTGTGAAGGCAAACAGTGTGTTAGTGAAATTTGTTACGAATCCAAATGGTTGGAGATGACACAACTTTATGGATGATCAACATTTTTATTTTCACAACAGCGACGTTTCAGTATAGATTATTATACCGTTTTCAAGCATATGGGGGAAGGATGGGGTACACCAGTTTATATACAAGATAAGATAAAGAAATAGTAATAACAAGGGTGGAAAACAAATCGTCAAAGTAAGTTACATGATGAGCTACAATAACATGACATGAGCTGAGATAGCATAAATGAGATGAGCGGGATTACCATGACAACTAGTGAATGCGAGTTAATTAAGCAGAAGCCAAGGTGAAGGGGATTAATTATAACGGGAAACCAGTGATAAGGTAAGCAGGTAAATAAGAGGCCATCTGGAGTGGTTTGTTTGGATTAATTATTTGTGAATTAGGTGGTTGTAAGCTGATGGGGATGAAATAGTGTAATCATGTTTGTTGTTTGTAAGTGTTTTGACAGTGTCCCAGTTGATGATGTGTTCCGAAATGGCTGATTTGGTGTCTGCATTGTCGGTGGATGTCTTGTGTTCTTTGGTGCGTATGTTGAGTGGTCTGGATGTTTCACCAATGTAGTTGCTGCCACAGTCGCAGCTGATGTTGTAGATCCCACCTTTAGGCTGTTGTTGTTTTGTAGTGTGTTTCCTACCGTTTGCCTTAATGATAGTTTTGAGAGGTTTGACCGTGGAGAAGTAAGTGTCTAATGCTGCTTAAGCGACTGATGTGGTGTGAAGTTTTGCCGATGAAGGGTAGTGAGATGCGAATGGGGGCGGAGTCGAGCTTGCTAGTGGTAGGTTTAGGTGCTGGGTTGTGGGTGGGGTGAATGACACGGTTAACAAGTTTAGTGGGATAGTTGTTAAGTTGGGTGAAGACATGTCGGAGGTGTTTAAGTTCACGTTCAGGGGTGACAGAGGATGGGCGGGAGAGAGTGGATGGTTAGTTAAGTTGGTTATCAATCCACCAACCAGTGAGTTAGTCAGACACAGTTGTCATGGTTTTGCTTCGGCAACACCACTAACGTCAGCTGCAGTTCGTTAACAATACTTGTCTCTGTTGTTCTCTTTGTTTTAACACAAATGAATACTGACGTTGATCTGTTTTCAGATGTCCTACATGGGAACCGTGCTATATGCTCCTTCGCTTGCACTGAAAACAGGTTTGTGCTTCCGAAACCATTAACCATATCGAAATACATAGTATGTGATAAAACAGTCCGTGTAATTAAGCCTTGATGATACTTTACTGTTACTCTTCAGCGATATGGAAATGAATGTTAATTGCCTTGTGATTCAGCTGAACGTGACTTTTACAGTAAGCGGCATGGAACTCTGGGTGTCCATTGTGACGGTGGGATGTCTGGTCACTCTGTATACATCGCTGGTGAGTGTACAGAAATGCATGCCTTGAACACAGGTGAGTGTACAGTAATGCATGCCTTGAACACAGGTGAGTGTACAGTAATGCATGCCTTGAACAAAGGTGAGTGTACAGAAATGCATGCCTTGAACACAGGTGAGTGTACAGAAATGTATGCCTTGAACGCAGGTGAGAGTACAGTAGTGCATGCCTTGAACACAAGTGAGTGTGCAGAAATGTATGCCTTAAACACAGGTGGATGTACAGAAATGCCTTGAACACAGGTGAATGTACAGAAATGCATGCCTTGAACACATGTGAGTGTACAGAAATGCATGCCTTGAACACAGGTGAGTGTACAGTAATGCATGCCTTGAACACAGGTGAGTGTACAGTAGTGTATGCCTTGAACACAGGTGAGTGTACAGAAATGAATGCCTTGAACACAGGTGAGTGTACAGAATTGTATGCCTTGAACACAGGTGAGTGTACAGAAATGAATGCCTTGAAATGAATGCCTTGAACACAGGTGAGTGTACAGAAATTAATGCCTTGAACACAGGTGAGTTTACAGTAATGCATACCTTGAACACATGTGATAGTACAGTAGTGCATGCCTTGAACACAGGTGGGTGAACAGAAATGAATGCCTTGAACACAGGTGAGTGTACAGAAATGAATGCCTTGAACACATGTGAGTGTACAGAAATGCATGCCTTGAACACAGGTGAGTGTACAGTAATGTATGCCTTGAACACAGGTGAGTGTACAGTAATGCATGCCTTGAACACAGGTGAGTGTACAGAAATGCATGCCTTGAACACTGGTGAGTGTACAGAAATGCATGCCTTGAACACTGGTGAGTGTACAGTAATGCATGCCTTGAACACAGGTGAGTGTACAGTAGTGCATGCCTTGAACACAAGTGAGTGTACAGAAATGAATGCCTTGAACACAGGTGAGTGTACAGAAATGAATGCCTTGAACACAGGTGAGTGTACAGAAATGAATGCCTTGAAATGAATGCCTTGAACACAGGTGAGTGTACAGAAATGAATGCCTTGAACACAGGTGAGTGTACAGTAATGCATGCCTTGAACACATGTGATAGTACAGAAATGCATGCCTTGAACACAGGTGAGTGAACAGAAATGCATGCCTTGAACACAGGTGAGTGTACAGAAATGCATGCCTTGAACACATGTGAGTGTACAGAAATGCATGCCTTGAACACAGGTGAGTGTACAGTAATGTATGCCTTGAACACAGGTGAGTGTACAGTAATGCATGCCTTGAACAAAGGTGAGTGTACAGAAATGCATGCCTTGAACACTGGTGAGAGTACAGTAATGTATGCCTTGAACACAGATGAGTGTACAGTAATGCATGCCTTGAACACAGGTGAGTGTACAGTAATGTATGCCTGTAATGTATCTCTGTTATTGCTTTAACACCTCTGTTATTGATGTAACACCTCTGCTATTGTTGTAACATCACTGCTATTGTTGTAACATTGCTACTATTGCTGTAACATCTCTGCTGTTGTTGTAACATCTCTACTGTTGTTGTAACATCTCTGCTATTGTTGTAACATCTCTGTTATTGCTGTAACATCTCTGCTATTGCTGTAACATCTCTGCTATTGCTGTAACATCTCTGCTATTGCTGTAACATCTCTGCTATTGCTGTAACATTACTCCTATTGCTGTAACATCTCTGCTATTGCTGTAACATCCCTGTTATTGCTGTAACATCTCTGCTATTGTTGTAACATCTCTACTGTTGCTGTAACATTACTCTTATTGCTCTAACATCTCTGCTGTTGTTGTAACATCTCTACTGTTGCTGTAACATTACTCCTATTGCTCTAACATCTCTACTGTTGTTGTAACATCTCTGCTATTGCTGTAACATCCCTGTTATTGCTGTAACATCTCTGCTATTGCTGTAACATCTCTACTGTTGCTGTAACATTACTCCTATTGCTCTAACATCTCTGCTGTTGTTGTAACATCTCTACTGTTGTTGTAACATCTCTGCTATTGCTGTAACATCTCTGTTATTGCTGTAACATCTCTGCTATTGTTGTAACATCTCTACTGTTGCTGTAACATTACTCCTATTGCTCTAACATCTGTGCTGTTGTTGTAACATCTCTACTGTTGTTGTAACATCTCTGCTATTGCTGTAACATATCTGTTATTGTTGTAACATCTCTGCTATTGTTGTAACATCTCTGCTATTGCTGTAACATTACTACTATTGCTGTAACATTACTCCTATTGCTGTAACATCACTGCTTTTGCTGTAACATCACTGCTATTGCTGCAACATCACTGCTATTGCTGCAACATCTCTGCTATTGCTGTAACATCTCTGCTATTGCTGTAGCATCTCTGTTATTGCTGTAACATCTCTGCTATTGTTGTAACATCTCTGCTATTGCTGTAACATTACTCCTATTGCTCTAACATCTCTGCTATTGCTGTAACATCTCTGCTATTGCTGTAACATCTCTACTGTTGCTGTAACATTACTCCTATTGCTGTAACATCACTGCTATTGCTGTAACATCTCTGCTATTGCTGTAACATCTCTGCTATTGCTGTAACATCACTCTGCTATTGCTGTAACATTGCTATTGTAACATTATTGCTGTAACATTACTCCTATTGCTGTAACATCACTGCTATTGCTCTAACATCACTGCTATTGCTGTAACATCACTGCTATTGCTGTAACATTACTCTTATTGCTCTAACATCTCTGCTATTGCTCTAACATCTCTGCTATTGTTGTAACATCTCTACTCTTGCTGTAACATCACTGCTATTGCTGTTACATCTCTACTATTGCTGTAGCATCACTGCTATTGCTGTAACATCACTGCTATTGCTGTAACATCTCTGCTCTTGCTGTAACATTACTCCTATTGCTCTAACATCTCTGCTATTGCTGTAACATCTCTGCTATTGCTGTAACATTACTACTATTGCTGTAACATCTCTACTATTGCTCTAACATCTCTGCTATTGCTGTAACACCTCTGCTATTGCTGGAACACCTCTGCTATTGCTTTAACATCTCTGGTGTTGCTGTAACAGCTATGGTGATTTCACTGTGATTTGTATGTGTCATGTGGTATTAAAGTTCCATCAAATCATGACATACCTCACATGCCTGGCTGATACACGTTCGTTATGAAAGTATATAGTTCCACTTCAATGTAGAGTTCATTCATATGTTTACTATCTAAAATGCGGACGAGTTCACATAATCAGACTACCACATAACTTTTTTGAGTGGCATTTTAGAAGCTGGGAAGTACAAAATTGACAAACTTTTGGATAACAACTATTACGAGAGTGCGACGTTTTTATACAGATTCTTGTACCGTTGTCAAGCACGAATGTAACATGCAGTGGTGGCAAAGTATATATACTGAGTGTAACAAGGAAAACAAGACAACAAGGTAATTAACGAAGAGGGTGGATATTGACGTGGTGTAGCCATGCAGTGGGTTGACAATGGGTGAAAAGGCATAGATTGACAAATGAAAGGGGGGGAGAGATGTTAAACAAGTTGTTATCCATAAAGTTTGTCAGTTTTAGACTACCACATGTTATTTCCATCCCTCATCAGGGTGGCATGAAGGCTGTTCTGTGGACGGACAGTTTCCAGGCAGTGCTCATCCTCGTGGGCCTTCTGTCGGTCTTTATACAAGGATGTATCACCATCGGGGGATTTGGACGGGCTTGGGACATTGCAAGCGAAAACTCCAGAATCTACTTTCATGAGTAAGAACAACGCTATACGGGTCACTTTGCTTATTTGTGGTTTCATCTTGACAGCTTTGAAAATGAAAAAGGAGAGCAGTGTTGCTGTTTCTGATCAACAATATGTAAACATAATATTTGTGACCTCGGATCGCCAACACATGAAGTCCATCGCCAAAAGCACAAGTACCACAACTGATTGTCTGGCCCACGAACGTTGTGTTCCCATCTGACAAGAATACACAGTGTTAAATTTTGGATAACGCTTACTTAATAAAGTGCAAATTCAGGTACATCTTAGGGTTAAGCCCATCTTGGATTTGAAACGACACCTAATGCAGCCCATATCAGGATGGTGATGAAAGATAACTAGACATTCACCCGACATGTGATATGAAATACATCGATATCCCCGTATTTGACAAGGACGGGCAGGTGAGAGTCCCGATAACGTACAACTACCACACGACCAGAGACCTTGGGTCAGGTCAGATCTCCAGCCTCTCCCTGCTTCATGTGCCATGACTGTAGGAGCCATGACATGCTGGGCGACTACACATGTCATGACATGCTGCGCCCGAGGACTGGGCGACTATACTCGTCATGACATGCTGCACCCAAGGAATGGCAGACTATAATCGTCATGACATTCTGAACCCGAGGACTGGGCGACTATACTCGTCATGACATGCTGCACCCGAAGACTGGGCGACTATACTCGTTATGACATACTGCACCCGAGGACTGGGCGACTATACTCGTCATGACATGCTGCACCAAAGGAATGGCCGACTATAATCGTCATGACATTCTGAACCCGAGGACTGGGCGACTATACTCGTCATGACATGCTGCACCCGAAGACTGGGCGACTATACTCGTCATGACATGCTGCACCCGAGGACTGGTAGACTATAATCGACATGACATGCTGCACCCGAGGACTGGTAGACTATAATCGTCATGACATGCTGCACCCGAGTACTGGGCGACTATACTCGTCATGTAGCTGCACCCGAGGAACGGGCGACTATACTCGTCATGCCATGCTGCACCCGAGGACTGGGCGACTATACTCGTAATGACACACTGCACCCTAGGATTAGGCGACTATACTCGTCATGACATGCTGCACCCAAGGACTGGGCGACTTTACTCGTCATGACATGCTGCATCCGAGGACTAGGCGACTATACTCTTCATGACATACTGCACCGGAGGACTGGGCGACTATACTCGTCTCGACATGCTGCACCCGAGGACTGGGCGAGTTAACAAGAAATCTGTATTAAATAGAATAGGACGTGAAATATATAAACAACAAATCAATGTTACAATTGAGTCATGAAATGAACTAAGTTTTCATATCAATACAAAATAGTGCACAGTATTTACACAATAGTGTGGCAGGACAAAATTCGAGGACAGCACAGCTACAATGGCTACAATTACCAAACAGTGGCAACAGTTGCAACGTCAGTGAGCATGATGTCTACTAACACCAACATTGGTCACACTACCACTACCACACACTACTAGGCTGGTTATCGATGGTGAAACCAGGTCCTCAGACTACTGCTCTACTGTCATGTAAAGATGATCAAGGCTACATATACCATTATTGTTTTCTTGAAACTCGATGACATGCTGGTTCAGGTTGTGCTGAATGGATCTATGCTCTTCTAGAAGTTTCAAAATTCGTGAATCAGATGCTTGAATATCTCAGAATATGTTAAAACAATCTTGACTCCCCTCCGTGAACAGTTTCAGCGTGGACCCGAGAACCCGTGCCTCCTTCTGGTCCGTGGTTGTTGGGGGCGGGATAATGTGGATGTCCTACTACTCCGTAAGCCAGAGTCAGGTACAGCGGTTCCTCGCCTGCCACACGCTCAGGAAGGCCCAAATGTAAGTCCGTGAAATGACAGTTGGTCGTCAATAAGGTCAGCATGTGTTTTGCGTGAAGCGTTGGTTATGTTCTGTAAATACACCCGTAATTTGTATTAATTCATGCCAACTTACAGGTTATTCGAAACTGGTTTACTCCCGGAGACTGAAGAGTCGCGATACATGATCATTTGCCTGAAACTAAAAACTGTGACTTATGAAATAAGATAATATACTCTGAAGGCTGAATGCAATGTTGTATACCAATGCAAAGAAGACATTTTCCGTGTGTCCTCCTAATCGTATTCATTTTCCCTACCTACAGTGTATGATCACGCCGGTTAGAAAAATCGTTAGGTACGAGACAGAATCGATGTTTTTCACTGTTACCACCCTTTTCACACACACCCTGCAACAAGCACCAATACATGCTCTCTCTTCCAGAGCCATGTGGTTCAGCGGGGTCCAGCTGGTCGTCATTGTCAGTCTGTGTTGCCTGGTGGGGGTGGTTCTCTTCGCCTTCTACAAGGACTGTCATCCCCTCCACTACAATATCATCAGCAACACGGACGAGGTGAGTAGATTCAGATACATTACAGCAGAACGTTACCAGTTTGTGGATGGAGTGACCGGGTGAGATAGTCTGTATACTTTCATGACGAATTTACGCTGACCTGACCAGCATTTACAAGTATAGCCTGGTGACCTGTCTTCAAAACAAAACATTCAAGTATATCCTGATGACCTGTCATAGAGACCAATGTGAACAAGTATAGCCTCCTGTCATGTCTTCAAGACCAATATAAACAAATATAGCCTGACGTCATGTCTTCAAGACCAATATAAACAAGTATAGCCTGACGTCATGTCTTCAAAACATTGCATACACGTATGGCCTGATTTCCTGTCTACGGAAACAGAATAAACAGGTATAGCCTAATGACTTGTTCTCAAAATCAATATATGCAAGCATACCCTAAAAAACCCTCCATCTCGAAGACCCCTCTACCTGACGAAGACAACATATGAAATCCGCATTCCGAAAACTCTACCAGTATTATGTTTTGCAGTTACTTCCTCTGTTTGTGATGGACATCTTGGGGCATCTGCCGGGTCTACCTGGAATCTTCCTGTCCTGTATCTTCAGTGGCAGTCTCAGGTACAACAATATCATATGTGTATATACAATATACAAAGACAGTCACAGGTACAACAATATCATATGTCTATATACAATATACAATGACAGCCTCAGGTACAACAATATCATATGTGTATATACAATATACAATGACAGCTTTAGGTACAACAATATCATATGTGTATATACAACATACAATGTCAGCCTCAGATACAACAATATCATATGTGTATATACAACATACAATGACAGCCTCAGGTACAACAATATCATATGTGTATATACAATATACAATGACAGCCTCAGGTACAACAATATCATATGTGTATATACAATATACAATGTCAGCCTCAGATACAACAATATCATATGTGTATATACAACATACAATGTCAGCCTCAGATACAACAATATCATATGTGTATATACAACATGCAATGACAGCCTCAGGTACAACAATATCATATGTGTATATACAATATACAATGACAGTCACAGGTACAACAATATCATATGTGTATATACAACATACAATGACAGCCTCAGGTACAACAATATCATATGTGTATATACAATATACAATGACAGCCTCAGGTACAACAATATCATATGTGTATATACAACATACAATGACAGTCACAGGTACAACAATATCATATGTGTATATACAACATACAATGACAGTCCTCAGGTACAACAATATCATATGTGTATATACAACATACAATGACAGCCTCAGGTACAACAATATCATATGTGTATATACAATATACAATGACAGTCTCAGGTACAACAATATCATATGTGTATATACAACATACAATGTCAGCCTCAGATACAACAATATCATATGTGTATATACAACATACAATAACAGCCTCAGGTACAACAATATCATATGTGTATATACAACATACAATGTCAGCCTCAGATACAACAATATCATATGTGTATATACAACATACAATGACAGCCTCAGGTACAACAATATCATATGTCTATATACAACATACAATGACAGTCTCAGGTACAACAATATCATATGTCTATATACAATATACAATGACAGCCTCAGGTACAATATCAATATCATACTGTCCATGCAATATACAATGACAGCCTCAGGTACAACAATATCATATGTGTATATACAACATACAATGACAGCCTCAGGTACAACAATATACAATGACAGCCTCAGGTACAACAATATCATATGTCTATATACAATATACAATGACAGCCTCAGGTACAACAATATCATATGTGTATATACAATATACAATGACAGCCTCAGGTACAACAATATCATATGTGTATATACAACATACAATGACAGCCTCAGGTACAAGAATATCATATGTGTATATACAATATACAATGACAGCCTCAGGTACAACAATATCATATGTCTATATACAACATACAATGACAGCCTGAGGTACAACAATATCATATGTGTATATACAATATACAATGACAGCCTCAGGTACAACAATATCATATGTCTATATACAACATACAATGACAGTCTCAGGTACAACAATATCATATGTGTATATACAATATACAATGACAGCCTCAGGTACAACAATATCATATGTGTATATACAATATACAATGACAGCCTCAGGTACAACAATATCATATGTCTATATACAATATACAATGACAGCCTCAGGTACAACAATATCATATGTGTATATACAATATACAATGACAGCCTCAGGTACAACAATATCATATGTGTATATACAACATACAATGACAGCCTCAGGTACAACAATATCATATGTGTATATACAATATACAATGACAGCCTCAGGTACAACAATATCATATGTCTATATACAACATACAATGACAGCCTGAGGTACAACAATATCATATGTGTATATACAATATACAATGACAGCCTCAGGTACAACAATATCATATGTCTATATACAACATACAATGACAGTCTCAGGTACAACAATATCATATGTGTATATACAATATACAATGACAGCCTCAGGTACAACAATATCATATGTGTATATACAATATACAATGACAGCCTCAGGTACAACAATATCATATGTGTATATACAACATACAATGACAGCCTCAGGTACAACAATATCATATGTCTATATACAACATACAATGACAGTCTCAGGTACAACAATATCATATGTGTATATACAATATACAATGACAGCCTCAGGTACAACAATATCATATGTGTATATACAATATACAATGACAGCCTCAGGTACAACAATATCATATGTGTATATACAATATACAATGACAGTCTCAGGTACAACAATATCATATGTCTATATACAATATACAATGACAGCCTCAGGTACAACAATATCATATGTGTATATACAATATACAATGACAGCCTCAGGTACAACAATATCGTATGTCTATATACAATATACAATGACAGCCTCAGGTACAACAATATCATATGTCTATATACAATATACAATGACAGCCTCAGGTACAATAATATCATTTGTGTATATACAATATACAATGACAGTCTCAGGTATAACAATATCATTTGCCTATATACAATATACAATAACAGACTCAGGTACAACAATATCATATGTGTATATACAATATACAATGACAGCCTCAGGTACAACAATATCATTTGTCTATATACAATATATAATGACAGCCTCAGGTACAACAATATCATATGTGTATATACAATATACAATGACAGCCTCAGGTACAAGAATATCATATGTGTATATACAATATACAATGACAGTCTCAGGTATGACAAAATCATATGTGTATATACAATATACAATGACAGCCTCAGGTACAACAATATCATATGTGTATATACAATATACAGGGACAGTCTGTTACCTCCAGTCTTCACTTCCAGCACTCTCTCACCAGGTGTTAACATAACATACAATGTAGTCTGACAACTTCTCCCTGAAGTCTATTGTTACCACCTGTTACCTCCAGTCATCACTTCCAGCACTCTCTCACTAGGTGTTAACATAACCTACAATGTAGTCTGACAACTTCTACCTGTAATCTACTGTGACGACCTGTTACCTCCAGTCATCACTCCCAGCACTCTCTCACCATGTGTTAACATAACCTACAATGTAGTCTGACAACTTCTCCCTGAAGTCTACTGTTACCACCTGTTACCTCCAGTCATCACTTCCAGCACTCTCTCACTAGGTGTTAACATAACCTTCAATGTAGTCTGACAACTTCTCCCTGTAGTCTACTGTTACCACCCGTTACCTCCAGTCATCACTTCCAGCACTCTCTCAAAGGTGTTAACATAACCTACAATGTAGTCTGACAACTTCTCCCTGAAGTCTACTGTTACCACCCGTTACCTCCAGTCATCACTTCCAGCACTCTCTCACCAGGTGTTAACATAACATACAATGTAGTCTGACAACTTCTCCCTGAAGTCTACTGTTACCACCCGTTACCTCCAGTCATCACTTCCAGCACTCTCTCACCAGGTGTTAACATAACATACAATGTAGTCTGACAACTTCTCCCTGAAGTCTACTGTTACCACCTGTTACCTCCAGTCATCACTTCCAGCACTCTCTCACCAGGTGTTAACATAACCTACAATGTAGTCTGACAACTTCTCCCTGAAGTCTACTGTTACCACCTGTTACCTCCAGTCATCACTTCCAGCACTCTCTCACCAGGTGTTAACATAACATACAATGTAGTCTGACAAATTCTCCCTGAAGTCTACTGTTACCACCCGTTACCTCCAGTCATCACTTCGAGCACTCTCTCACCAGGTGTTAACATAACATACAATGTAGTCTGACAACTTCTCCCTGAAGTCTACTGTTACCACCTGTTACCTCCAGTCATCACTTCGAGCACTCTCTCACCAGGTGTTAACATAACATACAATGTAGTCTGACAACTTCTACCTGTAGTCTACTGTGACCACCTGTTACCTCCAGTCATCACTCCCAGCACTCTCTCACCATGTGTTAACATAACATACAATGTAGTCTGACAACTTCTCCCTGAAGTCTACTGTGACCACCTGTTACCTCCAGTCATCACTCCCAGCACTCTCTCACCAGGTGTTAACATAACCTACAATGTAGTCTGACAACTTCTCCCTGTAGTCTTGTTACCTGTTACCACCTGTTACCTCCAGTCATCACTTCACCTGTTAGCACTCTCTCACCAGGTGTTAACATAACATACAATGTAGTCTGACAACTTCTACCTGTAGTCTACTGTGACCACCTGTTACCTCCAGTCATCACTCCCAGCACTCTCTCACCATGTGTTAACATAACATACAATGTAGTCTGACAACTTCTACCTGAAGTCTACTGTGACCACCTGTTACCTCCAGTCATCACTCCCAGCACTCTCTCACCAGGTGTTAACATAACATACAATGTAGTCTGACAACTTCTCCCTGAAGTCCACTGTTACCACCTGTTACCTCCAGTCATCACTTCCAGCACTCTCTCACTAGGTGTTAACATAACCTACAATGTAGTCTGACAACTTCTCCCTGTAGTCTACTGTTACCACCTGTTACCTCCAGTCATCACTTCCAGCACTCTCTCACCAGGTGTTAACATAACATACAATGAAGTCTGACAACTTCTCCCTGTAGTCTACTGTTATCACCTGTTACTTCCTCCATTCACCACTTCCAGCACTCTCTCACCAGGTGTTAACATAACATACAATGTAGTCTGACAACTTCTCCCTGAAGTCTGCTGTTACCACCCGTTACCTCCAGTCATCACTCCCTGCACTCTCTCACCAGGTGTTAACATAACCTACAATGTAGTCTGACAACTTCTCCCTGAAGTCTACTGTTACCACCTGTTACCTCCAGTCATCACTTCCAGCACTCTCTCACCATGTGTTAACATAACATACAATGTAGTCTGACAATTTCTCCCTGAAGTCTACTGTTACCACCCGTTACCTCCAGTCATCACTTCAAGCACTCTCTCACCAGGTGTTAACATAACATACAATGTAGTCTGACAACTTCTACCTGTAGTCTACTGTTACCACCTGTTACCTCCAGTCATCACTCCCAGCACTCTCTCACCAGGTGTTAACATAACATACAATGTAGTCTGACAACTTCTCCCTGAAGTCTACTGTTACCACCTGTTACCTCCAGTCATCACTTCGAGCACTCTCTCACCAGGTGTTAACATAACATACAATGTAGTCTGACAACTTCTACCTGTAGTCTACTGTTACCACCTGTTACCTCCAGTCATCACTCCCAGCACTCTCTCACCAGGTGTTAACATAACATACAATGTAGTCTGACAACTTCTCCCTGAAGTCTACTCTTACCACCTGTTACCTCCAGTCATCACTTCCAGCACTCTCTCACCAGGTGTGTTAACATAACATACAATGTAGTCTGACAACTTCTCCCTGAAGTCTACTGTTACCACCTGTTACCTCCAGTCATCACTTCCAGCACTCTCTCACCATGTGTTAACATAACATACAATGTAGTCTGACAACTTCTCACTAAAGTCTACCTTTACCACCTGTTACCTCCAGTCTTCACTTCCAGCACTCTCTCACCAGGTGTTAACATAACATACAATGTAGTCTGACAACTTCTACGTGTAGTCTACTGTTACCACCTGTTACCTCCAGTCATCACTTCCAGCACTCTCTCACCATGTGTTAACATAACATACAATGTAGTCTGACAACTTCTCACTGAAGTCTACTGTTACCACCTGTTACCTCCAGTCATCACTTCCAGCACTCTCTCACCAGGTGTTAACATAACCTACAATGTAGTCTGACAACTTCTACCTGTAGTCTACTGTTACCACCTGTTACCTCCAGTCATCACTTCCAGCACTCTCTCACCAGGTGTTAACATAACATACAATGTAGTCTGACAACTTCTACCTGTAGTCTACTGTTACCACCTGTTACCTCCAGTCATCACTCCCAGCACTCTCTCACTGGGTGTTAACATAACCTACAATGTAGTCTGACAACTTCTCCCTGAAGTCTGCTGTTACCACCCGTTACCTCCAGTCATCACTTCCAGCACTCTCTCACCAGGTGTTAACATAACATACAATGTAGTCTGACAACTTCTCCCTGTTAGTCTACTGTGACCACCTGTTACCCTCAGTCATCACTTCCAGCACTCTCTCACCAGGTGTTAACATAACCTACAATGTAGTCTGACAACTTCTCCTGTAGTCTACTGTTACCACCTGTTACCTCCAGTCATCACATCCCAGCACTCTCTCGCTAGGTGTTAACATAACATAATGTAGTCTGGCAACTTCTCCCTGTAAGTCCACTGTACCACCTGTTACCTCCGTGTCAACTTCCCGGCACTTCTCTCACTGAAGCCTTGGTAACTACTGTAGTCTGACAACCTGTCTACTGTTACTCCTGTTGCAGACATCACTTCCAGCACTCTCTCACCAGGTGCTTAACATAACATACAATGGTAGTCTGACAACTTCTCCTAAAGTCTACTGTTACCACCCGTACCTCCAGTCATCACTTCCAGCACTCTCACCAGGTGTTAACATAACCTACAATGTAGTCTGACAACTTCTCCCTGTAGTCTACTGCCAGACCACCTGTTACCTCCAGTCATCACTCCAGCACTCTCTCACCAGGTGTTAACATAACCTACAATGTAGTCTGACAACTTCTCCCTGAAGTCTACTGTTACCACCTGTTACCTCAATCATGTCACTTCCAGCACTCTCTCACTGGGTGTTAACATAACCTACAATGTAGTCTGACAACTTCTCCCTGAAGTCTACTGTTACCACCTGTTACCTCCAGTCATCACTTCCAGCACTCTCTCACCATGTGTTAACATAACATACAATTTAGTCTGACAACTTCTCCGTGTAGTCTACTGTTACCACCTGTTACCTCCAGTCATCACTTCCAGCACTCTCTCACCATGTGTTAACATAACATACAATGTAGTCTGACAACTTCTCACTAAAGTCTACCTTTACCAACCGTTACCTCCAGTCATCACTTCCAGTACTCTCTCACCAGGTGTTAACATAACCTACAATGTAGTCTGACAACTTCTACCTGTAGTCTACTGTGACCACCTGTTACCTCCAATCATCACTTCCAGCGCTCTCTCACCAGGTGTTAACACGCTTAACATACAATGTGGTCTGACAAAGTCTTCTCCTGTAGTCTACTGTTACCACCTGTTACCTCCAGTCATCACTTCCAGCACTCTCTCACTCATCTGGTCCAGGTGTTAACATAATATACAGCTGGACAACTTCTCCTGAAGTCTACTAACCAAGTTACCTCCAGTCAGCACTTCCAGCACTTCTCACCAGAACATAACTTCTGGACCCTGTACCTGTAGTCTGCTGTGACCACCTGTTACCTCCAGTCATCACTCCCAGCGCTCTCTCACCAGGTGTGTTAACATAACATACAATGTAGTCTGACAACTTCCTCCTGAAGTCTACTGTTACCACCTGTTACCTCCAGTCATCACTTCCAGCACTCTCTGTAAGCGCTGGGTCTGAACGCCTGACGTCTACTCTATGTTACCTCCAGTCTGACTTCCAGCACTCTCTGCATGAGCTGTAGTCTACTGTGAACACCTGTTACCTTTCTGCAGTGTAACATCAACTTCACAGCAACTGTCTTACCAAGTGACAAGTAGGTCCTAATGGCAGGCCTGTTTAACGAGATGAGGGAAAGCTATTTTGGTGTGTCCAAATAATTATTCAACTGTCTCCGCTTTGTTAAAGATTGGTACATTGTGCTGAACTCCCTGTTGATGCCTGGAGCAATTACCTCAGAGGTCATCGTCCGAGACATACAAGCAACACACAGCGAGGTGTTAACATGAGCCGAATTCCAAACTAGACTCAATGTAGTCTGACAGACTTCACACACAATAGTCTGGAATATGAGCTGTTCCAAACTAGACTTCCACGTGAAACATGTCCATGGTGCCATATAGATTATTAGAAACATGAATACTGCAGGGTTCCTGCAGTTCACTAAGCCATAGGCTAAGCACTAAACAGATCCCTGTGATTTGATTTGTGATAACCTGTGCAAGACAGCATTGTGTTAATATCTCGTATTCTGCTTTTGTGTAAAATGTAGTATATTTTGTGTGATATGCATGCTGTTATGTGTAACAAGTATTGCGTTGTGTGTCACATGCATCATGTGTTATACATCGTTGATGATGTCCTTGTTAGGAATAATTCCATGATACCAGTCATAGTGATGATGTCTGTTCTTGTAAGAATGGTAAGGACTCTTAGTCACTGAAAAAATGTCTGTGTATTGCGTTGTGGCACATGGACTAGGCTGTGCCATTTTTATGATGTTATGTTTCACATGTAATCTCCTCTGTTACTTGTTACGTAATGTCTATCAAGTGTGTCGTGCTATCCTCGTGTTTCAGCTGCAGGTGTGGGGTATCAGTGGTGGACTAGTGCATTCGCTGCATCTGGGTTGGGGCCAGCTGCTAAGCAGGTGAACTACTGCATGTTATTTTAGCGCCTTATTTCTTACTGTTCTTGCCACACATTCCGTGTAACATGTCGAGTCTTGGGGCAGCAGAAAACCCAGTGGATACATGCTAGCCAATAGTCAAACTGATATAACTCCTGCCACCAACTGAGTCTAACTCCCTGTCACCAACTGAGTCTAACTTCCTGTCACCAACTGAGCTCCAGTCTAACTCCAACTCCTGTCACCAACTGAGTCTAGCACTCTGCCACCAACTGAGTCTAACTTCCGTCACCAACTGAGTCTAACTCCTGTCACCAACTGAGTCTAACTTCTGGCTACCAATTGGAGTCCTAACTCCTGTCACCAACTGGAGTCTAACTCCTGTCACCAACTGAGTCTAACTTCCTGTCACAAATTGAGTCTAACTCCCGTCACCAATTGAGTCTAACTCCCTGTCACCAGCTGGAGTCTAACTCCCTGTCACCAACTGAGTCTAACTTCCGTCACCAACTGAGTCTAACTCCCTGTCACCAACTGGAGTCTAACTCCGTCAGCAATTCAGTCTAACTTCCGTCACCAACTGAGTCTAACTCCCGTCAGCAATTGAGTCTAACTTCCGTCACCAACTGAGTCTAACTCCCGTCAGCAATTGAGTCTAACTTCCGTCACCAACTGAGTCTAACTCCTGTCAGCAATTCAGCTCCCCGTCAGCAATTGAGTCTAACTTCCGTCACCAACTGAGTCTAACTCCCTGCGCTGTCAGCAATTCAGTCTAACTTCCGTCACCAACTGAGTCTAACTTTGTCAGTCTAACTTCCCGTCAGCCCACTGAGTCTAACTCCCGTCAGTCGTCACCAACTGAGTCTAACTCCCGTCAGCAATTGAGTCTAACTCCCGTCACCAACTTGAGCTCCAACTAAACTCCTGTCTTGAGTCTCTTCCGTCACCAGCTGGGTCTAACTCCCCGTCACCACTCTAACTTTCCGTCACCAACTGAGTCAACTCCCGCGTCACCAGCTGGAGCTCTAACTTCCGTCACCAACTGAGTCTAACTCCTGTCACCAACTGGAGTCTAACTCCCGTCAGCAATTGAGTCTAACTTCCGTCACCAACTGAGTCTAGTCTAACTCCTGTCACAACTGGAGTCAACTGTCAGTAGTCTAACTCTGCTACCTGTCAGCAATTGAGTCTAACTTCCGTCACCAACTGAGTCTAACTCCCGTCACCAATTGAGTCTAACTTCCTGTCACCAACTGAGTCTAACTTCCGTCACCAACTGAGTCTAACTCCCCTGTCACCAACTGAGTCCTAACTTCCTGTCACCAACTGAGTCTAACTTCCTGTCACCAACTGAGTCTAACTCAGCTACAGAGCTAACTTCCCGTCACCAACTCCTAACTCCCGTCAGCAATTGAGTCTAACTCCGTCACCAACTGAGTCTAACTCCCGTCACCAACTGAGTCTAACTCTGTCACCAACTGAGTCTAACTTCCTGTCACCAACTGAGTCTAACTCCCACCAGCTGAGATAACTGAGTCTAACTCTCTGTCACCAACTGAGTCCTAACTCCGTCACCAACTGAGTCTAACTCCCGTCACCAACTGAGTCTAACTCCCGTCAGCAATTGAGTCTAACTTCCGTCACCAACTGAGTCTAACTCCCGTCACCAACTGAGTCTAACTCCCGTCACCAATTGAGTCTAACTCCCGTCACCAACTGAGTCTAACTCCCGTCAGCAATTCCAGTCCTAACTTCACGTCACCAACTGAGTCTAACTCCCGTCACCAACTGAGTCTAACTCCCGTCACCAACTGAGTCTAACTCCCGTCACCAACTGAGTCTAACTCCCGTCACCAACTGAGTCTAACTCCCGTCACCAACTGAGTCTAACTCCCGTCACCAACTGAGTCTAACTCACCAACAGCAACTCCCGTGAGTCTCCAACTTCCTAGCGTCACCAACTGAGTCTAACTCCCTGTCACCAACTGAGTCTAACTTCCGTCACCAACTGAGTCTAACTTCCGTCACCAACTGAGTCTAACTTCCGTCACCAACTGAGTCTAACTCCTGTCAACTTCCTTCCGTCACCAACTGAGTCTAACTCCCGTCACCAATTCTGAGTCTAACTTCCGTCACCAACTGAGTCTAACTCCCGTCACCAACTGAGTCTAACTTCCGTCACCAACTGAGTCTAACTCCCGTCACCAACTGAGTCTAACTCCCGTCACCAACTGAGTCTAACTCCCGTCACCAACTGTCACTCCGTCACCACTGAGTCTAACTCCTGTCACTTCAACCAACTGAGTCTAACTCCTGTCACCAACTGAGTCTAACTCCTGTCACCAACTGAGCTCCAACTCCCGTCACCAACTGAGTGAGTCTCAAGTCTCCCGTCACCAACTGAGTCTAACTCCCGTCACCAACTGAGTCTAACTCCTGTCACCAACTGAGTCTAACTCCTGTCACCAACTGAGTCTAACTCCCCGTCACCAACTGAGTCTAACTCCCGTCACCAACTGAGTCTAACTCCCGTCACCAACTGAGTCTAACTCCCGTCACCAACTGAGTCTAACTCCCGTCACCAACTGAGTCTAACTCCCGTCACCAACTGAGTCTAACTCCCGTCACCAACTGAGTCTAACTTCCGTCACCAACTGAGTCTAACTCCTGTCAACTCCTGTCACCAACTGAGTCTAACTCCCGTCACCAACTGAGTCTAACTCCTGTCACCAACTGAGCTCTAACTTCCGTCACCAACTGAGTCTAACTCCCGTCTGCAGTCTAACTCCCGTCACCAACTGAGTCTAACTCCCGTCACCAACTGAGTCTAACTCCCGTCACCAACTGAGTCTAACTTCCGTCACCAACTGAGTCTAACTCCCGTCACCAACTGAGTCTAACTCCCGTCACCAACTGAGTCTAACTCCCGTCAGCAATTCAGTCTAACTTCCGTCACCAACTGAGTCTAACTCCCGTCACCAACTGAGTCTTCTGGGTTAACGCTAGTGCCAGAAATCACAAAGGTCCAGCTGAATGACAGAGTTCTTTATTACATGGCATGTGTCCAAAGCCACGTGGTGTTAACACTCATCAAATCTGTAAGAGTTTTATGATGAATGTATTTGTATTAAATGGCGACCCAAATAATAACAGTATTCTCATTGCAAGATTTATAGTTTACAACTATTAATTATAATTGCTTACACATTATTTCAAATTATTACAATTATGGAGAATCGCATTTAAATAGAAACTACCAAATGACACATACTTACCAGCTATGGGCTGAATCAAATGACCTGGTGCTTACTCAACTGAATACCTTCAATGGTGTGGCTATGTATCTGAACACAACATCAAAGATATAAATGGTGTGCAAAATAATACAAAATATATGATTAAGGGAATACAATACCAATTGTATTTTACGAGAAAACTCTAGGATAAAATACATAATGATAATTAGTGCAAAACAAATGACTTTCAAAGCAATGGTTTTACATATATATATAACTAAGATATTGAAAAGTATTTTATCTCAACATTACATCATCCAGCCAACAACACTACGTTACAGTACCATAAATCAGTTGAAATATGTTTGTACGCTTTATACTTATTAAAATATATTATAATACATTAGACGGACCTCAAAATTTCCTCTAGACAAAACAAATGTGTTTCTCCTGAAGTTGCCAGCCAGAATAAAATCACTGAGCACCTTGTCTTGCATGAAAAACATGATCTGCAACTCACAGCCAATGAGAAATGAAGGCTTCTTTGTAAAATTTAACCCAACAACAAAAGTTGATAGAAAATATGACTGACTGAGTTTAGTTTTACGCCGCTTTTAGCAATATTCCAGCAACATCACGGCGGGGAACACCAGAAATGGGCTTCACACATTGTACCCATGTGGGGATTCGAACCCGGGTCTTCGGCGTGACGAGCCAACGCTTAAACCACTAGGCTACCCCACCGCCCAGATAGAAAATATGAACTGTGAGCTATCCTTCCATAGTGGCGAGACTCCAAATGAGTGGTACTGAGGGCCCCTACCTCATTATGAATTATAATATCTAAGTGAATACAAACCAAAACACATGTTCAACCGTTACATTGGCAGTACAGTTCCAATCTGCTTGCAAGGGTTGTAGATGTCAATGCAACACATAGCATGTGCACCTATCAATTGATGTGTCTGTCTTTGAGATGCATACGGAAGTTCCTGTTGTTAGCATAAGGACAATGTTTTCGGTTTTCGAGAATACTTCATGCTATCACTGATTTACAGGGACTCATTCATAATAATAATCATGGTATTGATGTTTGATATGTCTGGCATTGTGAATGAGGATGGTTTTGTAATACTGTCGGTGATGGTACCTCTTCTTGTAGCAATGATGGAGTGACACCAGTCACTAATGATGTCTATCCTTGTAGTAAGAATGGTATGACACCAGTCAGTGGCGATGTCTGTTCTTCTGTTACAAATAGTATGACACCAGTCACTGACGATGTCTGTTCTTCTATTACAAATAGTATGACACAAGTCAGTGACGATGTCTGTTCTTCTATTACAAATAGTATGACACCAATCAGTGACGATGTCTGTTCTTCTATTACAAATAGTATGACACCAGTCAGTGACGATGTCTGTTCTTCTATTACAAATAGTATGACACAAGTCACTGACGATGTCTGTTCTTCTATTACAAATAGTATGACACCAGTCAGTGACGATGTCTGTTCTTCTATTACAAATAGTATGACACTAGTCAGTGACGATGTCTGTTCTTCTATTTCAAATAGTATGACACCAGTCAGTGACGATTCCGTTCTTCTATTACAAATAGTATGACACCAGTCAGTGACGATGTCTGTTCTTCTATTACAAATAGTATGACACTAGTCAGTGACGATGTCTGTTCTTCTATTACAAATAGTATGACACCAGTCACTGACGATGTCTGTTCTTCTATTACAAATAGTATGACACCAGTCAGTGACGATGTCTGTCCTTCTATTACAAATAGTATGACACAAGTCAGTGACGATGTCTGTTTTTCTATTACAAATAGTATGACACCAGTCAGTGACAATGTCTGTTCTTCTATTACAAATAGTATGACACCAGTTAGTGACGATGTCTGTTCTTCTATTACAAATAGTATGACACAAGTCAGTGACGATGTCTGTTCTTCTATTACAAATAGTATGACACCAGTCAGCGACGATGTCTGTTCTTCTATTACAAATAGTATGACACAAGTCAGTGACGATGCCTGTTCTTCTATTACAAATAGTATGACACCAGTCAGTGACGATGTCTGTTCTTCTATTACAAATAGTATGACACCAGTCAGTGACGATGTCTGTCCTTCTATTACAAATAGTATGACACAAGTCAGTGACGATGTCTGTTCTTCTATTACAAATAGTATGACACCAGTCAGTGACGATGTCTGTTCTTCTATTTCAAATAGTATGACACCAGTCAGTGACGATGTCTGTTCTTCTATTACAAATAGTATGACACCAGTCACTGACGATGTCTGTTCTTCTATTACAAATAGTATGACACAAGTCACTGACGATGTCTGTTCTTCTATTACAAATAGTATGACACCAGTCAGTGACGATGTCTGTTCTTCTATTACAAATAGTATGACACAAGTCACTGACGATGTCTGTTCTTCTATTTCAAATAGTATGACACCAGTCAGTGACGATTCCGTTCTTCTATTACAAATAGTATGACACCAGTCAGTGACGATGTCTGTTCTTCTATTACAAATAGTATGACACTAGTCAGTGACGATGTCTGTTCTTCTATTACAAATAGTATGACACCAGTCAGTGACGATGTCTGTTCTTCTATTACAAATAGTATGACACAAGTCAGTGACGATGTCTGTTCTTCTATTACAAATAGTATGACACAAGTCAGTGACGATGTCTGTTCTTCTATTACAAATAGTATGACACCAGTCAGCGACGATGTCTGTTCTTCTATTACAAATAGTATGACACAAGTCAGTGACGATGCCTGTTCTTCTATTACAAATAGTATAACACCAGTCAGTGACGATGTCTGTTCTTCTATTACAAATAGTATGACACCAGTTAGTGACGATGCCTGTTCTTCTATTACAAATAGTATGACACCAGTCACTGAAGATGTCTGTTCTTCTATTACAAATAGTATGACACCAGTCAGTGACGATGTCTGTCCTTCTACTACAAATAGTATGACACCAGTCAGTGACGATGTCTGTTCTTCTATTACAAATAGTATGACACCAGTCACTGACGATGTCTGTCCTTCTATTACAAATAGTATGACACCAGTCAGTGACGATGTCTGTTCTTCTATTACAAATAGTATGACACAAGTCAGTGACGATGTCTGTTCTTCTATTACAAATAGTTTGACACCAGTCAGTGACGATGTCTGTTCTTCTATTACAAATAGTATGACACCAGTCAGTGACGATGTCTGTTCTTCTATTACAAATAGTATGACACAAGTCACTGACGATGTCTGTTCTTCTATTACGAATAGTATGGCACCAGTCAGTGCCGATGTCTGTCCTATTACTAATGGTATGACACGATGCCTGTCCTTGTAGTAATATAGGTATTACACCAGTAAGTTCTTGCAATACCACTGATGGGACAACCATGGCGATGTCTGTTTTGTGTTGCAGCTCTCCTACGTGGCCTTCAGCGTCACGGACGGACCTGTGTTTGGAGTCTTCATACTTGGAATGTTCTTCCCTAGAGCCAATAAATGGGTTAGAAATTCAGTAGATAGTTAGATACAATAATATTACGTAGTTATTTCGTGTTTGGTATTACCATGTCTCAGTGACTTAAGGATTCCAGTGCAAACGTCGCTGAACATATTTTGGGGGTTGTTTTGTTCTCGACAGTTTCCTCAACCCTAGAGATTAACCAGTTTAATTATCCACTGGAACACATTCTACTGAAACAACTGTGAAAGTAACTGCACGCTGAAAACATAAGCCTCTGTATGCTGCCAGTCGAGGCTCTTCTGATGTCAAGGTTTGAACATTTCCTTTGAAAGCCATTGACCACAGCAACACAAAACTAGTTTCAGGTTACAATTTCAGGGAGCTCTCTGTGGCTACGTGGCGAGCATCACCATCCTCATGTGGATTGCACTTGGAGCCCTCATCCACAACATCACCACGCCCGTGTCTCAGTTCTCTGTTCAGGGCTGCAACTGGAACGCTACCAACTCCACCATGCCCACAGCCCCTACCGCCAACAACACCATGTACGCCGAAGGGTAGGTTTCGTATCTGATACGTTCTCTAATTTGACAGTTTTATAAACGATTAGCAAATATGACCGACAGTAATTACCGTAGCGGCTTGCAATTAAAAGTATCAAAAAGTTGTTGTTTGGGCAAAAGTCGGTAGTTAGCTATATTTTCAGCTAAGTACAAGTACCGGAGAAACAGGCTGAATGTATGTGGATGGTATCTGTGTAATTCGTGTTTTGTAAAGTTTTTGGTTGCCTTTAGATCTAGATGTACCCGACATTTTCGAGATTAAGCACGACTACGGTAATCAGTTAGACTATAATTTACACACCGAATGTTGTGGACGTTTTGCTGTGATCTGTTGACTCATCTGACGACTATGACAGGTTGTTTTGTGTTTTACGACATCAAGTCTCTGACTGGTTTAACCAATAATGTTTCCTTTAAGGGACCACGGCCTCGGTATCTACCACCTCTCCTTCGTCAACTACACAGCCACAGGGGCCTTCATTTGCGTTTTCGTAGGCACAATTGTCAGCCTCATTACGGGTACGATATTTACAGATATAACGTGCTTGTCAAGAGGTCCTGTATCTTGTTGTGTGACAGCTGATATTTACAGATATAACGTGCTTGTCAAGATGCCATGTATCTTGTTGTGTGACAGCTGATAATTACAGATATAACGTGCTTGTCAAGATGCCATGTATCTTGTTGTGTGACAGCCGATAGTTACAGAAAAAACGTGCTTGTCAAGATGCCATGTATCTTGTTGTGTGACAGCCGATAGTTACAGATATAACGTGCTTGTCAAGATGCCATGTATCTTGTTGTGTGACAGCTGATATTTACAGATATAACGTGCTTGTCAAGATGCCATGTATCTTGTTGTGTGACAGCCGATAGTTACAGATATAACGTGCTTGTCAAAATGTCCTGTATCTTGTTGTGTGACAGCTGATACTCAGTAAAACATTGCAGTTGCCCAGGTGATAGAATATACAAGGTATGGTAGGTAGAGGGTTTTAGGATGTCAGCTTTCCTTTGGATGAGGAACACATCGATTTGAAATACTCGGAGTCATTAATGAAGGGTCAAGCTATTGGTAACACGATTTCTTAAAAGCTGCAAACTCCGCGTTATTGTTTCATATATATACAACTGAATATTTTACAAACTTTCTTAACAGTATGCAAATACACATCAGTCCTTTGCGTTCTTTAACGTCCGATACATTGTGTTACAAATGATACATTATATTTTTTATTAAAATTGTCAATATGGAAATCCACCTGCCACATAATGGCAATGATTTGCACGTGGAAAGTGGAGGACAATTCACACATATTGATGTTTTTTCACTGTCGTTCACTGTTCGGCTACCTGTTTGAAATCGCAGCTTAAAATGAGACGTTTTTTGCACTGTCAAAACGCAAACGTGCGTGTACCACTCACCCAGTATAACCGTTTTCACCTGTACTACGGGCCTGGAGTTCAGAAATATAGAATCACTGTGTGACAGTGGACAGATGAAAGTCGGAATCTGAAATAAGTAGGGATGGATATTGCCCTGATTCTCATATCGCAATATATTGCAATAATTTAAGAGATACTGCAATACGATTTGCGATATATTGACTGGAATCTTTCTGTCCAAGTGCATACAGCATAAAATCATACTAGCTCTGTGTGCGACATCATCTTCTTAGTTGCTGATACACCACACCTTCAGTCTCCCCGTCTCCATTGTGAATGGCTTTACGTTAATGGTTTACAGATAAATAAAGCAATATAGAGCCTTAGTATAGAATGTTTAAATGAAGTACTGTATTGCAACAAAGTTCTGCGAACATAATGATACAGGTAATAGTATAACATGATTTTCATGGTCAGTGTGCACTTCAATGCAGTATGTAATTATTGGTACTGTATGTCAGTGATTCATTCAACTCAAACAAAAACATGATTTAGGTGAACTACTTGAGCTTAAAATCTCATGTGACCTCGAGTAACTTACATCCTTGACTAGAATGTCATTATACAGTCCTACAAAGTGTATAAGACTTTAGCCTGATGACATATGTCCCATTATGAAACAAACAAAAAAAACAAAATAATGTGAAATGGTCTTTCAGAGCCAGAGGCCATACTAATAGGTCCAAATAAAAGATTTGTCAAATCTTAGAAGGGCATTTAGAAGTGTAAGGCATACGAAAATCAAGATTTATGGATGTCAACTTCTTTATTGTGAATAACACGACGTTTCGGAGTGTATGCTTGATCCTTCACAACGAGAAGTTGCCATTCATAACTCGTGCTTATCTCAAAAGATTGTTGCTTTTGAGGCCTCTTAATTCCTCCAAAACGTCACATATTCAACCATTCAAACCCGCAAAACTTAAAGCATTTGGTAAAATATTTGGCACTTTTGGCGCAACTTATAAAGAAACTTCCACTTGTAATATGTTACATGAAACCAACTGAAATAAATGTATATTTGGCACTTTTAGAGCACATTTTGTTGCCGTGGAGGGCAAGGGCAGATGATTCAAAGGGAGCTAACTCTGGATGATCCAATATATTGTAGAATCTGAACCATATCGCGATAATCGTATCGCGAGATACTGTACCGGTATATACCGGTTTACGGTAATATTGCACAGCCCTAGAAATAAGGCAAAGGACAAAGGGCAAACTTGAGGCAGAGGGTAATAGCACTGTTAGATAAGTACGAGCACAGTGAGAGTAAGACACACCTGTACATTCCTCTGTAGGTTCATGAATAACTGCATGTACCATGTGTTCCCGGTCCGTTGTCAGTTCAAACAAGGAGACATTCTAATACGATAATAAACTAATATTCCCTGTCCTTCATAGGTTATGGGAAGCTCGTTACAACAGACCCTAAACTGGTTTTCCCGGCCATCCGCTCGCTCTGTCCATGTCTTCCAAAGACAGTGAAGGAGAAGTTGGACTATGCGCCTGTAGTTGAGGTAAGTATCTCAGCTGGGAGAGTATGTGAACACCGGCACACTGTGAGAGGTAACACACGCCTACTCTCATCAGAGAGTCCTGGGTTGTCCTTCTCAAGCTATTTTACCATATATGTTTGAAGACCGAAGGTACTGTTTTTATCCCGACAAGGCTAAGGTATAACTAACGTGCTGATAGAACATATATACATACCGTTGTGTTGAGTGTACAGTGGCGAGTGTTACAGTGGCGAGTGTACAGTGGCGAGTGTACAGTGGCGAGTGTTACAGTGTTGAGTGTTACAGTGTTGAGTGTTACATTGTTGAGTGTACAGTGTTGAATGTTACAGTGTTGAGTGTTACAGTGGCGAGTGTTACAGTGTTGAGTGTTACATTGTTGAGTGTTACACTGTTGAGTGTTACAGTGGCGAGTGTTACAGTGTTGAGTGTACAGTGGCGAGTGTAACAGTGTTGAGTGTACAGTGACGAGTGTTACAGTGTTGAGTGTACAGTGTTGAATGTTACAGTGTTGAGTGTACAGTGGCGAGTGTTACAATGGCGAGTGTTACACTGTTGAGTGTACAATGTTGAATGTTACAGTGTTGAATGTTACAGTGTTGAGTGCTACAGTGTTGAGTGTTACAGTGTTGAGTGTACAGTGGCGAGTGTTACAGTGTTGAGTGTACAGAGGCGAGTGTTACAGTGTTGAGTGTACAGTGGCGAGTGTTACAGTGTTGAGTGTACAGTGGCGAGTGTTACAATGGCGAGTGTTACACTGTTGAGTGTACAATGTTGAATGTTACAGTGTTGAATGTTACAGTGTTGAGTGCTACAGTGTTGAGTGTTACAGTGTTGAGTGTACAGTGGCGAGTGTTACAGTGTTGAGTGTACAGAGGCGAGTGTTACAGTGTTGAGTGTACAGTGGCGAGTGTTACAGTGTTGAGTGTACAGTGTTGAGTGTTACAGTGTTGAGTGTACAGTGCCAAGTGTTACAATGGCGAGTGTTACACTGTTGAGTGTACAATGTTGAATGTTACAGTGTTGAATGTTACAGTGTTGAGTGCTACAGTGTTGAGTGTTACAGTGTTGAGTGTACAGTGGCGAGTGTTACAGTGTTGAGTGCACAGAGGCGAGTGTTACAGTGTTGAGTGTACAGTGGCGAGTGTTACACTGTTGAGTGTACAGTGTTGAGTGTTACAGTGTTGAATGTTACAGTGTTGAGTGCTACAGTGTTGAGTGTTACAGTGTTGAGTGTACAGTGTTGAGTGTTACAGTGTTGAGTGTACAGAGGCGAGTGTTACAGTGTTGAGTGTACAGTGGCGAGTGTTACAGTGTTGAGTGTACAGTGGCGAGTGATACAGTGTTGAGTGTTACAGTGTTGAATGTTACAGTGTTGAGTGTACAGTGTTGAATGTTACAGTGTTGAGTGTACAGTGGCGAGTGTTACAGTGTTGAGTGTACAGTGGCGAGTGTTACACTGTTGAGTGTACAGTGTTGAATGTTACAGTGTTGAGTGTTACAGTGGCGAGCGTTACACTGTTAAGTGTACAGTGGCGAGTGTAACAGTGTTGAGTGTACAGTGACGAGTGTTACAGTGTTGAGTGTACAGTGGCGAGTGTACAGTGGCGAGTGTACAGTGGCGAGTGTTACAGTGTTGAGTGTTACAGTGTTGAGTGTACAGTGGCGAGTGTTACAGTGTTGAGTGTACAGAGGCGAGTGTTACAGTGTTGAGTGTACAGTGGCGAGTGTTACAGTGTTAAGTGTACAGTGGCGAGTGTGACAGTGTTGAGTGTACAGTGGCGAGTGATACAGTGTTGAGTGTTACAGTGTTGAATGTTACAGTGTTGAGTGTACAGTGTTGAATGTTACAGTGTTGAGTGTACAGTGGCGAGTGTTACAGTGTTGAGTGTACAGTGACGAGTGTTACAGTGTTGAGTGTTACAGTGTTGAGTGTTACAGTGTTGAGTGTACAGTGGCGAGTGTACAGTGTTGAGTGTACAGTGGCGATTGTTACACTGTTGAGTGTACAGTGTTGAATGTTACAGTGTTGAGTGTACAGTGGCGAGTTACACTGTTGAGTGTACAGTGTTGAATGTTACAGTGTTGAGTGTTACAGTGTTGAGTGTACAGTGTTGAGTGTTACAGTGTTGAGTGTACAGTGGCGAGTGTTACAGTGTTGAGTGTACAGTGGCGAGTGTTACACTGTTGAGTGTACAGTGTTGAATGTTACAGTGTTGAGTGTACAGTGGCGAGTGTTACAGTGTTGAGCGGCAGCGAGTGTACAGTGTCGAGGTGTGACAGTGTTGAGTGTTACAGTGTACGAGTGTTACAGTGTTAAGTGTACAGTGTTGAATGTTACAGTGTTGAGTGTTACAGTGTTGAGTGTTACAGTGTTGAATGTTACAGTGTTGAATGTTACAGTGTTGAGTGTTACAGTGTTGAGTGTACAGTGGCGAGTGTTACAGTGTTGAGTGTTACAGTGTTGAGTGTACAGTGTTGAGTGTGACAGTGTTGAGTGTACAGTGACGACTGTTACAGTGTTGAGTGTACAGTGTTGAATGTTACAGTGTTGAATGTTACAGTGTTGAATGTTACAGTGTTGAGTGTTACAGTGTTGAATGTTACAGTGTTGAGTGTTACAGTGTTGAGTGTTACAGTGTTGAGTGTACAGTGGCGAGTGTTACAGTGTTGAGTGTACAGTGGCGAGTGTTACAGAGTTGAGTGTACAGTGGTGAGTGTGACAGTGTTGAGTGTACAGTGGCGAGTGTTACACTGTTGAGTGTTACAGTGTTGAATGTTACAGTGTTGAGTTGCTGAATGTTACAGTGTTGAATGTTTACAGTGTTGAGTGTTACAGTGTTGAATGTTACAGTGTTGAGTGTACAGTGTTGAGTGTTACAGTGTTGAGTGTACAGTGGCGAGTGTTACAGTGTTGAGTGTACAGTGGCGAGTGTTACAGTGTTGAGTGTACAGTGTTGAGTGTTACAGTGTTGAGTGTACAGTGTTGAGTGTTACAGTGTTGAATGTTACAGTGTTGAGATGTTACAGTGTTGAATGTTACAGTGTTGAGTGTTACAGTGTTGAGTGTTACAGTGTTGAGTGTTTCAGTGTTGAGTGTTACAGTGTTGAGTGTTACAGTGTTGAAGTGCGTTACAGTGTTGAGTGTTACAGTGTTGAGTGTTACAGTGATTGAGTGTTACACTGTTGAATGTTACAGTGTTGAGAGTTACAGTGTTGAATGTTACAGTGTTGAATGTTACAGTGTTGAGTGTTACAGTGTTGAGGTGTTACAGTGTTGAGTGTACAGTGGCAGAGTTGAGTTACAGAGTTGAGTTACAGTGGTGGAGTGTGACAGTGTTGAGTGTACAGTGTTGAAGTATTGGCACTGTTGAGTGTTACAGTGTTGAGTGTTACAGTGTTGAGTGTTACAGTGTTGAATTGTTACAGTGTTGAGTGTTACAGTGTTGAATGTTGCAGTGTTGAGTGTTACAGTGTTGGAGTGTTACAGTGTTGAGTGTTACAGTGTTGAGTGTTACAGTGTTGAGTGTACAGTGGCGAGTGTGACAGTGTTGGAGTGTTACAGTGTTGAGTGTTACAGTGTTGGAGTGTACAGTGTTGAGTGTTACAGTGTTGAGATGTTACAGTGTTGAATGTTACAGTGTTGAGCGTTACAGTGTTGAGTGTTACAGCGTTGAGTGTTACAGTGTTGAGTGTTTCAGTGTTGAGTGTTACAGTGTTGAGTGTTACAGTGTTGAGTGTTACAGTGTTGGAGTGTCACAGTGTTAAGTGTACAGTGACGAGTGTTACACTGTTGAATGTTACAGTGTTGAATGTTATAGTGTTGAATGTTACAGTGTTGAGTGTTACAGCGTTGAGTGTTACAGTGTTGAGTGTTACATGTTGAGTGTTATAGTGTTGAATGTTACAGTGTTACAGTGTTGAGTGTTTCAGTGTTTAGTGTTACAGTGTTGAGTGTTACAGTGTTGAGTGTTACAGTGTTGAGTGTACAGTGGCGAGTGTTACAGTGTTGAGTGTACAGTGTCGAGTGTGACAGTGTTGAGTGTACAGTGGCGAGTGTTACAGTGTTAAGTGTACAGTGTTGAATGTTACAGTGTTGATTGTTACAGTGTTCAGTGTTACAGTGTTGAATGTTACAGTGGTGAGTGTTACAGTGTTGAGGTATGTTACAGTGTTGGAGTGTACAGTGGCGAGAGTGTTACAGTGTTGAGTGTTACAGTGTTGAGTGTACAGTGGCGAGTGTACAGTGTTGAGTGTACAGTGGCGGTGTTACACTGTTGAGTGTACAGTGTTGAATGTTACAGTTGAGGTGAAGTGTACAGTGTTGAGTTACACTGTTGAGTGTACAGTGTTGAGATTACTTATGTTACAGTGTTGAGTGTTACAGTGTTGAGTGTACAGTGTTGGAGTGTTACAGTGTTGAGTGTTACAGTGGCGAGTGTTTCAGTGTTGAGTGTTACAGTGTTGAGTGTACAGTGTTACAGTCGTTACAGTGTTGAGTGTTACAGTGTTGAGTGTACAGTGGCGAGTGTTACAGTGTTAAGTGTACAGTGTTGAATGTTACAGTGTTGATTGTTACAGTGTTCAGTGTTACAGTGTTGAATGTTACAGTGGTGAGTGTTACAGTGTTGAGTGTTACAGTGTTGAGTGTACAGTGGCGAGTGTTACAGTGTTGAGTGTTACAGTGTTGAGTGTACAGTGTTGAGTGTGACAGTGTTGAGTGTACAGTGACGACTGTTACAGTGTTGAGTGTACAGTGTTGAATGTTACAGTGTTGAATGTTACAGTGTTGAGTGTACAGTGTTGAATGTTACAGTGTTGAGTGTTACAGTGTTGAATGTTACAGTGTTGAGTGTACAGTGTTGAGTGTTACAGTGTTGACAGTTACAGTGTTGAGTGTACAGCGGCAGAGCAAGTGTTACAGAGTTGAGTGTACAGTGGTGAGTGTGACAGTGTTGAGTGTACAGTGTGCGAGTGTTACACATGTTGAGTGTACGGTGAGTGTAGAATGTTACAGTGTTGAGAGAAATATTTACAGTGTTGAATTTTACAGTGTTGAGTGTTACAGTGTTGAATGTTACAGTGTTGAGTGTACAATGTTGAGTGTTACAGTGTTGAGTGTACAGTGGCGAGTGTTACAGTGTTGAGTGTACAGTGGCGAGTGTGACAGTGTTGAGTGTACCGTGACGAGTGTTACAGTGTTGAGTGTACAGTGACGAGTGTTACACTGTTGAATGTTACAGTGTTGAATGTTACAGTGTTGAATGTTACAGTGTTGAGTGTTACAGCGTTGAGTGTTGCAGTGTTGAGTGTTTCAGTGTTTAGTGTTACAGTGTTGAGTGTTACATTGTTGAGTGTTACAGTGTTGAGTGTCACAGTGTTAAGTGTACAGTGACGAGTGTTACACTGTTGAATGTTACAGTGTTGAATGTTACAGTGTTGAATGTTACAGTGTTGAATGTTACAGTGTTGAGTGTACAGTGGCGAGTGTTACAGTGTTGAGTGTACAGTGGCGAGTGTTACAGAGTTGAGTGTACAGTGGTGAGTGTGACAGTGTTGAGTGTACAGTGGCGAGTGTTACACTGTTGAGTGTACGGTGTTGAATGTTACAGTGTTGAATGTTACAGTGTTGAATTTTACAGTGTTGAGTGTTACAGTGTTGAATGTTACAGTGTTGAGTGTACAATGTTGAGTGTTACAGTGTTGAGTGTACAGTGTCGAGTGTTACAGTGTTGAGTGTACAGTGGCGAGTGTTACAGTGTTGAGTGTACAGTGGCGAGTGTGACAGTGTTGAGTGTACCGTGACGAGTGTTACAGTGTTGAGTGTACAGTGACGAGTGTTACACTGTTGAATGTTACAGTGTTGAATGTTACAGTGTTGAATGTTACAGTGTTGAGTGTTACAGCGTTGAGTGTTACAGTGTTGAGTGTTTCAGTGTTTAGTGTTACAGTGTTGAGTGTTACATTGTTGAGTGTTACAGTGTTGAGTGTCACAGTGTTAAGTGTACAGTGACGAGTGTTACACTGTTGAATGTTACAGTGTTGAATGTTACAGTGTTGAATGTTACAGTGTTGAGTGTTACAGCGTTGAGTGTTACAGTGTTGAGTGTTACATGTTGAGTGTTATAGTGTTGAATGTTACAGTGTTACAGTGTTGAGTGTTTCAGTGTTTAGTGTTACAGTGTTGAGTGTTACAGTGTTGAGTGTTACAGTGTTGAGTGTCTCAGTGTTGAGTGTTACAGTGGCGAGTGTTTCAGTGTTGAATGTTACAGTGTTGAGTGTTACATGTTGCGTGTTACAGTGTTGAGTGTTTCAGTGTTGGATGTTTCAGTGTTGAGTGTTACAGTGTTGAGTGTTTCAGGGTTGAATGTTTCAGTGTTAAGTGTTACAGTTTTAAATGTTACAGTGTTGAGTGTACAGTGTTGAGTGTACAGTGTTGAGCGTTACAGTGTTGAGTGTTACAGTGTTAATGTTATATGGTGGAGTGTTACAGTGCTGAATGTTACAGTTTTGAGTGTTACAGTGTTGAATGTTACCGTGTTGAATGTTACAATGTTAATGCTACAGTGTTGAATGTTACAGTGGCGAGTGTCACAGTGTTGAGTGTTACAGTGTTGAGTGTTACAGTGTTGAGTGTTTCAGTGTTGAGTCTTACAGTGTTGAGTGTTACAGTGTTGAATGTTACAGTGTTAATGTTACATTGTTGAGTGTTAGAGTGTTGAGTGTTTCAGTGTTGAGTGTTACAGTGTTAATGTTACAGTGTTGAATGTTACAGTGGCGAGTGTCACAGTGTTGAGTGTTACAGTGTTGAGAGTTTCAGTGTTGAGTGTTAGTGTTGAGTGTTACAGTGTGGAATGTTACAGTGTTAATGTTACATTGTTGAGTGTTAGAGTGTTGAGTGTTTCAGAGTTGAATGTTACTGTGTTAATGTTACATTGTTGAGTGTTAGAGTGTTGAGTGTTACAGGGTTGAATGTTACATTGTTGAGTGTTAGAGTGTTGAATGTTAGTGTTGAGTGTTTGAGTGTTGAATGTTACAGTGTTGAGTGTTTCTGTGTTGAATGTTATTGTTGAGTGTTTCAGTGATACAGTGTTGAATGTTACAATGTTAGTGTTGAGTGTTACAGGGTTACAGTGTTGAGTGTTACAATGTTACATTGTTGAGTGTTACAGGGTTACAGTGTTGAGTGTTACAGGGTTACAGTGTTGAGTGTTTCAGTGATACAGTGTTGAGTGTTACAATGTTACAGTGTTGAGTGTTACAGGGTTACAGTGTTGAGTGTTACAGGGTTACATTGTTGAGTGTTACAGGGTTACCGTGTTGAGTGTTACAGGGTTACAGTGTTACAGGGTTACAGAGTTGTAACTGGACGTGTTCTGTGTACAGCGACCACCTGAGCTGGACGTGACAGAGATGAGCGAGGACGTGTGAGGCGAGACTGACGTCAGCAGAGACCCCGATGATACTTCCATCGGCCTACAGACGCCGCTCCAACTGAGGTCCAACATGTTCTCGAGGCCCGGCTGGATTGGCAAGATAGACGCTACTTTTGTACATACTATGTCGCCAACATGATGCAGGAAGCGACTGACAGGTGGTCAGACTGTACACACCCATGTTACTCCGAGGGTGCCCCGTCATGTATTACACTTCTAACAGTAGAACGAACATTCACAAATAAACAATTGTATTATCCAGTGTGGTTTTCTAAGATAACTATGTGTAAATGTACGAGTCTCGGTCACGTTTTGGCGCATGACGACATGGGGGTATGTTCAGTTGGCTGTGGGGCGCTGGGGTAACCTAGTAGTTAAAGCGCTGGCTCGTCACGCCGAAGACCCGGGTTCGAATCCCCACATGGGTACAATGTGTGAAGCCCATTTCTGGTGTCCCCCGCCGCGATGTTGCTGGAATATTGCTAAAAGCGGCGTAAAACCAAACTCAGTCAGTCAGTCAGTTGGCTGTAGCGGGAGGCGTTTTGTGGATTAAATACTTACATTTCCCTACTGTAACACCTCTATATATCAACATTTGCTGAGATGTAGACACATGTACACACCTATAACTCGATACAACACATCTATATCTCTACATCTGCTCAACACTTTCAAATAAAAGTAATTCGACACAAGACATACTCAGATGAAAACGTTATTGTGACATAGAATATTTTCTTTGGTATATTAAACAGCACAACTATTCCCAAACCTGCATAATCTTGTCAGATTCATTGTCTTCCCTTCAAAATGTCACTCCGAGTTACTCTATCATCCTTGACATTTAAGAACTTTACAACGATCTTTTTACTGGCCAATGTGACATCGTCAACTGGTGGTTACCGGGTCACGTAGGCATAGCAGGTAACCCAAGAGCCGATGCTGCAGGTAAAACAACCCTTGACAAAACGGTAATCCCGTAGAGTCATTTCCAACCCACCACCAAAGTTATATCCAGGGCCTCATGCAAAAAAGGAGGGACACCCACGTCAGGAAGATAAAGAACTTCACGAACTGAAACCAACAATAAGTTATACCTACTTGAGTTGTCAGTCAAGACACGATGAGGTAATTTTACGACGATGTAGTATTGGCCACAGTCGATTTGCTCTTGACTATCTGCTCAAAATGGATGGAGATGGACCAAAGTGCGTCTCTTACGATGAAGTGTTCACCATCAAGCACATTCTGCTTGACTGTGTGGACTTTTCAACTGCGAGGGACTCACATTATGAAGCAATACATCTGAAATATCTGTTTTCCCGCGGTCAGCAGGCATCTCATTATAAACTACCTGAGGAGAGATTTATCTGTATCATACATTGTAACTATGGAATGTGAATGACGGTTTGTTTGTTTTATTAATTTGACTCTATGGCATTTTCAGTTTGTAATGATAATGTAATGAATAAGCATGATTTTGAAAATCTCATTTAAACTTTGTACTGGAAAAGTGTGTATGAATATAGACTTGGTTTGTCGTCGCTATAAAGCTGAACTTACGCTGATGCGACGTAAATCTCAACTCAACCAATACCTACATCGCACGACATCGGTATATCCGACGTGAGGCAGAACAGCCTAGTTCGTCATACGGCTAGCAATACACTCATTGCAAGCCTCACACATTCTCACACATCGCCTCGGGGAGCAGTCTTAAAGCAGATAGTTTTATCATTGAAGTCTCTACATCCGTCAACCATCCATGTTCAGATGATTTCCGTCCACGACAAGGCAGCAGGTAAACAAGTGTACCTCCATCTTCACGACAACAACGTCCTATACGTGCACATCCCTTTATCTTCCTTCTTGACAGCTGTAATGTCACCGTGCTGGTTGTACAGGACTGCGGCACCTGTGTGTGTACAGGATCTCACGTAGATAACAGTTGCCTGAGAATTCGAAAACTGTCCACAAGATGTCGGCTGGTGTTGTCTTCGTTGTGAGTACGACACTGCCACCGAGTCTCAACGTTCACATTTCGTATCAATAATCACCGGTGTGTGTGATCCATGATTGGTCCCTGTCTGTTTCAGGTGTTTGGCCTGGTGTACATCACCTGTGTACCACCGTATGCTGAAGGTGAGTATGAGAGAAGGACTTCTGCCAGTGTGGTTGTTCAATTTCACGACATGGCCTAGAATGATACTGAGGGCCAAGGCCACCACTGCCCCTGTCTGTTTTCGTGCACTAAACATTAGATTAGTGACGTTGTTTGAAGTCAGCCATGGCACGACATGTACTTTTTAATATGTCCGTAAATAAGGAGTAAGTGAATGAGTTGTATTTCACAGCAGTGTTTCACCTTGAGTATATGTAGCTGGTCAAGTTTGTCTGACTTTAAAGAAAGAAAAGAAGCTATTCTTCACTACATCCTTGTAAATGTCCTCTTGGACCGCCGAGGCAGTGTGACTTAAGTCGTGTGCCATATCTGCAAGTGTTAGACAGACAATAAGATATGTTCACCAAACGTGGTCATCTGTGTATTCAGGAAGCATGTGACCAACCATTGGATTACAGCATGTGCTTGTTCGGGAACTTGCTGCCACTCACGGTCCGGTCACCACACAGTGTGTTTACGTCACCCTGTCACCATGATGATTACATACACTACCGATAGATTGGCAATTTATACGCTTTCTTTACTAACGATGAATGTTCGACAAATCAGGGGCAAGTGGACGTTTAATGTCGACCTCTGTGTTCGCAGGTGCCTGCTCCTCCTCGCAGTGGGGCTGCAGCAACAACCGATGCATCTCAGCAACGTTGAAATGTGATGGCAAAGACGACTGTGGTGACAACTCGGATGAACGTGAAGGCTGTGTCGATCTCGGTCAGTCCATCTAGCATCTCTCATGTCCTTACACAATAGCGGTCAGTCCAAATAGCATCTCTCATGTCCTGACACAATAGCAGTCAGTCCCGCTAGCATCTCTCATGTCCTAGCACAATAGCGGTCAGTCCCGCTAGTATCTCTCACGTCCTGACACAATAGCAGTCAGTCCCGCTAGCATCTCTCATGTCCTAGCACAATACACAAGATAAACTGGATCCGGAAGCTCTAGATGAGTTATTGAGTATCTACTGTCATTATAGAACTACATAGCGGATGTTTTTCTTAGTGATTCCAGTAGTGTCCAGTGCAGTCTGATTTAGAAAAAGATTAACCGGTGTGCTATGTTTTGGTTTTTAGAATACACCGACATAATTGTGTCGGTGCAAATATGTATTTAACTGTAGGTAACACCTGTCGCATGTGACTGTAGGTAAACCTGTGGTATATGACTGTAGGTAACCCCTGTTGTATATGACTGTAGGTAACCCTGTTGTATGTGACTGTGGGTAACCAGTGTGGTATGTGACTGTAGGTAACCTCTGTGGTATATGACTGTGGTAACCCTGTTGGTATGTGACTGTAGGTAACCTCTGTGGTATGTGACTGTAGGTAACCTCTGTGGTATATGACTGTAGGTAACCCTGTTGTATGTGACTGTAGGTAACCTCTGTTGTATGTGACTGTAGGTAACCCTATTGTATTTGACTGTAGGTAACCTTTGAGGTATCCAACCGTAGGTAACTCCTGTGGTATATGACTGTAGGTAGCCCCTGTAGTATGTGACTGCAGGTAACCCCTGTTGTATATGACTGTAGGTAACCTCTATAGTATGTGACGGTAGGTAACCCCTGTTGTATGTGACTGTAGGTAACCTCTGTGGGATGTGACTGTAGGTAACCTCTGTGGTATGTGACTGTAGGTAACCCCTGCTGTATGTAACTGTAGGTAACCTCTGTAGTATGTGACTGTAGGTAACCCCTGCTGTATGTAACTGTAGGTAACCTCTGTGGTATGTGACTGTAGGTAACCCCTGTGGTATGTGACTGTAGGTAACCTCTGTGGTATGTGACTGTAGGTAACCCCTGTTGTATGTGACTGCAGGTAACCTCTATACTATGTGACTGCAGGTAACCCCTGTGGTATGTAACTGCAGGTAACCTCTGTAGTATGTGACTGCAGGTAACCCCTGTTGTATGTAACTGAAAGTAACCTCTGTGGTATGTGACTGTAGGTAACCTCTGTGGTATGTGACTGTAGGTAACCTCTGTGGTATGTGACTGTAGGTAACCTCTGTGGTATGTGACTGTAGGTAACCTCTGTGGTATGTGACTGTAGGTAACTCCTGTGGTGTGTAACTGTAGGTAACCTCTGTGGTATGTGACTGAAGGTAACCTCTGTGGTATGTGACTGTAGGTAACCTCTGTGGTATGTGACTGTAGGTAACCCCTGCTGTATGTAACTGTAGGTAAACTCTGTGGTATGTGACTGTAGGTAACCTCTGTGGTATGTGACTGTAGGTAACCCCTGTTGTATGTGACTGTAGGTAACCTCTGAGGTATGTGACTGCAGGTAACCTCTGTGGTATGTGACTGTAGGTAACCCCTGTGATGTGTAACTGAAGGTAACCTCTGTGGTATGTGACTGTAGGTAACCTCTGTGGTATGTGACTGTAGGTAACCTCTGTGGTATGTGACTGTAGGTAACTCCTGTGGTGTGTAACTGTAGGTAACTCCTGTGGTGTGTAACTGAAGGTAACCTCTGTAGTATGTGACTGTAGGTAACCCCTGTTGTATGTGACTGCAGGTAACCTCTATACTATGTGACTGCAGGTAACCCCTGTTGTATGTAACCGCAGGTAACCTCTGTAGTATGTGACTGCAGGTAACCCCTGTTGTATGTAACTGAAAGTAACCTCTGTGGTATGTGACTGTAGGTAACCTCTGTGGTATGTGACTGCAGGTAACCTCCTGTTGGTATGTGTGACTGCAGGTAACCCCTGTTGTATGTGACTGCAGGTAACCTCTGTTGTATGTAACTGTAGGTAACCTCTGTGGTATGTGACTGTAGGTAACCCCTGTTGTATGTAACTGTAGGTAACCTCTGTGGTATGTGACTGTAGGTAACCTCTGTGGTATGTGACTGTAGGTAACCTCTGTGGTATGTGACTGTAGGTAACCCCTGCTGGTATGTAACTGTAGGTAACCCCTGTGGTATGTGACTGTAGGTAACCTCTGTGGTATGTGACTGTAGGTAACCCCTGTGGTATGTGACTGTAGGTAACCTCTGTGGTATGTGACTGTAGGTAACCTCTGCTGTATGTGACTGTAGGTAACCTCTGTGGTATGTGACTGTAGGTAACCTCTGTGGTATGTGACTGTAGGTAACCCCTGTGGTATGTAACTGAAGGTAACCTCTGTGGTATGTGACTGTAGGTAACCTCTGTGGTATGTGACTGCAGGTAACCCCTGTGATGTGTAACTGAAGGTAACCTCTGTGGTATGTGACTGTAGGTAACCTCTGTGGTATGTGACTGTAGGTAACCCCTGTGGTGTGTAACTGTAGGTAACTCCTGTGGTGTGTAACTGAAGGTAACCTCGAGCTCTGTAGTATGTGACTGTAGGTAACCCCTGTTGTATGTGACTGCAGGTAACCTCTGTACTATGTGACTGCAGGTAACCCCTGTTGTATGTAACTGCAGGTAACCTCTGTGGTATGTTACTGTAGGTAACTCCTGTTGTATGTAACTGAAAGTAACCTCTGGTGGTGGTATGTGACTGTAGGTAACCCTGTGGTATGTGACTGTAGGTAACCCCTGTGGTATGTGAACTGTAGGTAACCTCTGTGGTATGTAACTGTAGGTAACCTCTGTGGTATGTGACTGTAGGTAACCCCTGTGGTATGTAACTGTAGGTAACCTCTGTGGTATGTGACTGTAGGTAACCCCTGTGGTATGTGACTGTAGGTAACCCCTCTGTGGTATGTGACTGTAGGTAACCTCTGTTGTATGTGTATGTGGTAGGTAACCTCTGTGAGTATGTGACTGTAGGTAACCTCTGTGGTATGTGACTGCAGGTAACCTCTGTGGTATGTGACTGTAGGTAACTCTGTGGTATGTGACTGTAGGTAACCCTGTGGTATGTGAACTGTAGTATGTAACCCCTGTGGTATGTGAACTGTAGGTAACCTCTGTGGTATGTAACTGAAGGTAACCTCTGTGTATGTGACTGTAGGTAACCCCTGTGGTATGTAACTGTAGGTAACCCCTGTGGTATGTGACTGTAGGTAACCTCTGTGGTATGTGACTGTAGGTAACCCTCTGGTGTATGTGTACTGCAGGTAACCTCTGCTGTATGTGACTGTAGGTAACCTCTGTGGTATGTGACTGTAGGTAACCTCTGTGGTATGTGACCTGCAGGTAACCCCTTTGGCATGTAACTGAAGGTAACCTCTGTGGTATGTGACTGTAGGTAACCTCTGTGGTATGTGACTGTAGGTAACCTCTGTGGTATGTGACTGTAGGTAACCCCTGTGGTATGTGACTGTAGGTAACCTCTGTGGTATGTGACTGTAGGTAACTCCTGTTGTATGTGACTGTAGGTAACCTCTGTTGTATGTAACTGTAGGTAACCTCTGTGGTATGTGACTGTAGGTAACCTCTGTGGTATGTGACTGTAGGTAACCTCTGTGGTGTGTAACTGAAGGTAACCTCTGTGGTATGTGACTGTAGGTAACCCCTGTGGTATGTGACTGTAGGTAACCTCTGTGGTATGTAACTGCAGGTAACCTCTGTAGTATGTGACTGCAGGTAACCCCTGTTGTATGTAACTGATGGTAACCTCTGTGGTATGTGACTGTAGGTAACCTCTGTGGTATGTGACTGTAGGTAACCTCTGTGGTATGTGACTGTAGGTAACCTCTTTGGTATGTGACTGCATGTAACCCCCGTTGTATGTGACTGCAGGTAACGTCTTTGTATGTAATTGAAGGTAACATCTGTGGTATGTGACTGTAGGTAACCTCTGTGGTATGTGACTGTAGGTAACCCCTACTGTATGTAACTGTAGGTAACCTCTGTGGTATGTGACTGTAGGTAACCTCTGTGGTATGTGACTGTAGGTAACCCCTGTTGTGTGTGACTGAAGATAACCTCTGTGGTATGTGACTATAGGTAACCTCTGTGGTATGTGACTGTAGGTAACCCCTGTTATATGTGACTGTAGGTAACCTCTGTGGTATGTGACTGTAGGTAACCCCTGTGTTGTGTGACTGTAGGTAACCCCTGTGTTGTGTGACTGTTGGTGACCCCTGTGTTGTGTGACTGCAGGTGACCCCTGTGTTATGTGACTGTAGGTAACCCTGTGTTGTTTGACTGTAGGTAACCCCTGTGTTGTGTGTCTGTTCGTGACCCCTGTGTTGTGTGGCTGTATTCAACTCATGCGTTGTGCGACTGTGGGTGCCTCCTGTGTTGTGTTACTGCAGGTAACACGTATGTTGTGTTACTGTAGGTAACACCTATGCTGTGTGACTGTAGGTAACCCCTGTGTTGTTTTGTCTTATGTGTTGTGTTACTGTAGGGAACCCCTGTGGCAGCGGAAAGATCTGCAGAGGCATTCTAAAGTGTGTTTCACAGTCTCAACTGTGTGACGGTAAAGACGACTGTGGCGACAACTCTGATGAAGACAACTGCCCTGTCAGCCGTAAGTATGTCTTTCACAGGCGTACAGTTAAGACCTATTTCGATTTAAGCAGGTATCGAAGTGTAGTGTTGCTGTTAGTACTGTGTGTAATCAGCCTCTCACCATACATGTCCTACCTTCTGGTTAGAATGACGACGGGCATATATTTCTAGTTAATACTATGATAATAGTTTTGTAAAAGATGTGTCAACATTCTTACATGATATGTTAAAAGATCAAAAGCGCCGACTGTACTTATCTGGTGTCCGCATGGGAAAGCCACAATTGAAAAATACTAATTGCGCTAAAGCCACATTTCAAGTACAAACCTCGGTGCCGCGAAAGCCACAATGAGTAAGGGAATCAATACCGTTTTTTCAAATAAGCGTCACCCATTGATCACAATGCATAAAAATTGCTTTAGTGTCTTGTCCTTTGTTTATTTAGTTGGACGACTTCTTTATTCTCTAACATATGTTATATTTGGGATTACACTTTCTTAGTAAAAATTCTAGTACTTTTGTTGGGTTGAGTCCCATCCGGGATTCGAACCCGCACCCTTAGAGTCAGGCACCTAATCGCCAGCACACAACGTCAGACGCCTAGATCGCTCAGCCACCGCGGCTTCCAGGCGTCATGAAGACATGAACAATCCATAAAGAGTTCCATTAGCTCTTATACCCCAGTTGCTCATTGTATGGTATTTCGATAATGTTGAAATATAAATAAGTTTGATTCAACCTTCAGCCCAGTGCCCAAGAGGAGCACCATTGAAGGACGCCAAGGGGATAGCCTATTTCTGTGGGCTGGGTCCATCTGCTCAGGCGTGTCCGCCAAACAGTGCCTGCCTCACCGACCCACTTGACCGGTTTGCCGTATGCTGTTCTGTTTGAAGACATTCTTACCACATACAGAAATAAACGTTGCGTGTTTGAGGACAAAGTGTTTTCGTTAAAATCTGGGGAAGTACTTGATGCTTCATGTGTGTCTTGGATAGGACTGGTATAGAAGGTCTAGTCCAGACACCATCCTTGCTTCATGTGTGTCTAGGGTAGGAACGAAGTAGAAGGTTACCCCAGCCACCATCCTTGCTTCATGTGTGTCTAGGGTAGGACCGAAGTAGAAGGTTACCCTAGCGACCATTTTTGCTTCATCTGTGTCTAGGGTAGGACCGAAGTAGAAGGTTACTCCAGCCACCATCCTTGCTTCATGTGTGTCTAGGGTAGGACCAAAGTAGAAGGCTACCCCAGCCACCATCCTTGCTTCATGTGTGTCTAGGGTAGGACCGAAGTAGAAGGTTACTCCAGCAACCATCCTTGCTTCATGTGTGTCTAGGGTAGGACCGAAGTAGAAGGTTACTCCAGCAACCATCCTTGCTTCATGTGTGTCTAGGGTAGGACCGAAGTAGAAGGTTACTCCAGCAACCATCCTTGCTTCATGTGTGTCTAGGGTAGGACCGAAGTAGAAGGTTACTCCAGCAACCATCCTTGCTTCATGTGTGTGTCTAGGGTAGGACCGAAGTAGAAGGTTACCCAGCCACCATCCTTGCTTCATGTGTGTCTAGGGTAGGACCGAAGTAGAAGGTTACCCAGCCACCATCCTTGCTTCATGTGTGTCTAGGGTAGGACCGAAGTAGAAGGTTACTCCAGCCACCATCCTTGCTTCATGTGTGTCTAGGGTAGGACCGGAGTAGAAGGTTACCCCAGCCACCATCCTTGCTTCATGTGTGTCTAGGGTACGACCGAAGTAGAAGGTTACTCCAGCCACCATCCTTGCTTCATGTGTGTCTAGGGTGGGACCGAAGTATAAGGTTACCCCAGCCACCACCCTTGCTTCATGTGTGTCTAGTGTAGTACCGAAGTAGAAGGTTACTCCAGCCACCATCCTTGCTTCATGTGTGTCTAGGGTAGGACCAAAGTAGAAGGTTACTCCAGCCACCACCCTTGCTTCATGTGTGTCTAGGGTAGGACCAAAGTAGAAGGCTACCCCAGCCACCATCCTTGCTTCATGTGTGTCTAGGGTAGGACCAAAGTAGAAGGTTACTCCAGCCACCATCCTTGCTTCTTGTGTGTCTAGGGTAGGACCAAAGTAGAAGGTTACCCCAGCCACCATCCTTGCTTCATGTGTGTCTAGGGTGGGACCGGAGAAGGTTACCCCAGCCACCATCCTTGCTTCATGTGTGTCTAGGGTAGGAACGAGTGGTGAAGGTTACCCCAGCCACCATCCTTGCTTCTGTGTGTGTGTCTAGGGTAGGACCGGAGTAGAAGGTTACTCCAGCCACCATCCTTGCTTCATGTGTGTCTAGGGTAGGACCGGAGTAGAAGGTTACCCCAGCCACCATCCTTGCTTCATGTGTGTCTAGGGTAGGACCGAAGTAGAAGGTTACTCCAGCCACCATCCTTGCTTCATGTGTGTCTAGGGTGGGACCGAAGTATAAGGTTACCCCAGCCACCATCCTTGCTTCATGTGTGTCTAGTGTAGTACCGAAGTAGAAGGTTATTCCAGCCACCATCCTTGCTTCATGTGTGTCTAGGGTAGGACCAAAGTAGAAGGTTACTCCAGCCACCACCCTTGCTTCATGTGTGTCTAGGGTAGGACCAAAGTAGAAGGCTACCCCAGCCACCATCCTTGCTTCATGTGTGTCTAGGGTGGGACCAAAGTGAAGGTTACTCCAGCCCCCATCCTTGCTTCTTATTGTGTGTCTAGGGTAGGGACCAAAGTAGAAGGTTACCCCAGCCACCATCCTTGCTTCATGTGTGTCTAGGTAGGACTGGAAGTAGAAGGTTACTCCAGCCACCATCCTTGCTTCATGTGTGTCTAGGGTAGGACCAAAGTAGAAGGTTACCCCGGCCACCATCCTTGCTTCGTGTGTGTCTAGGGTCCGGAGTAGAAGGTTACCCAGCCACCATCCTTGTCTTGTGTGTGTCTAGGGTAGTACCGAAGTAGAAGGTTACCCCAGCCACCATCCTTGCTTCTTGTGTGTCTAGGGTAGGACCGAAGTAGGAAGGCCACCCCAGCCACCATCCTTGCTTCTTGTGTGTCTAGGGTAGGACCAAAGTAGAAGGTTACCCCAGCCACCATCCTTGCTTCGTGTGTGTCTAGGGTAGGACCGGAGTAGAAGGTTACCCCAGCCACCATCCTTGCTTCTTGTGTGTCTAGGGTAGGACCGGAGTAGAAGGTTACCCCGGCCACCATCCTTGCTTCGTGTGTGTCTAGGGTAGGACCGGAGTAGAAGGTTACCCCAGCCACCATCCTTGCTTCTGTGTGTGTCTAGGGTAGGACCGGAGTAGAAGGTTACCCCAGCCACCATCCTTGCTTCTTGTGTGTCTAGGGTAGGACCGGAGTAGAAGGTTACCCCGGCCACCATCCTTGCTTCGTGTGTGTCTAGGGTAGGACCGAAGTAGAAGGTTACCCCAGCCACCATCCTTGCTTCATGTGTGTCACACACTGAGGCCAACACACACTGAGATCAACATACATTTTATGTCTGCTGAATGTCTGACATTCTTCAACCGAAATGATATCACTACCAACATCTGCTGATAGTATGGATTGAAGAGACTACATCTGCTGATAGTATGGATTGAGGAGACCCCAGCAATGATAGGGATCGTCTGAGTGCACGCTTGAGGGTGACATTTCGAAACTTGTTTCTGTCGAAAGTAATTATTTTATAAGCACACAGAAGTACAAACATTTAACAGGTTTCGTATGTTCTTACATATATATTGTCCACTCCTCCATGTTGGCTCCAACACAGACAATAGACCGATCCAGTCTGTCAATCAATACTGGCGCATGCGTCAATTTTGGCCAAGAAGCAGGCCAGGTGCGCTTTGTGGATTTGTCAGACTTACTTCCGGGGTCAAACGGTGCCTCCAAAGCGATGTGCTTCGAATTATGCCATTCACATGTATCACTATATCTATTACATGTTGCTGCAATTTGATGTGTACATTTGACAAAGCCATTACGGTCAAGACAAAAGATTTGAGGCGGATCAAGTAGTGCGATAGGTCTCACAATCAGTTAAGTGTCGGCACCATCGTTCACGAAACCTACGTCTGCTCGAAGGTGAGAATTTGTACGAATTTCCACACTTTTGCACACGTGCAAAATCATTGCCAATGGATGACAACAAATAGCAGTTTAAGAATTTGCAAGTGTTATAAACACGGACAATTCTTGTAACTACAAAAATGCTTTTGCTAAACGTTTTTAGCCAATACTGGGCATTGAGTTGGTACGCCATAAAGCTGAAATGAGACATGCGAGAAAGCCGTGACACAATGTAAACAAATCTGACAGCGATCCTATTTCGGTTAGGGTCGAGCGAAATAGCAAAAGTTGTTACATGAAAGAACAATGTGGTGGATATTGTTGCCTTCGCTCTTAGATATTCTGAAATTTGTCACACATTTTTTGATGTTTCAAGGTTTCACAAGCACAATCTGAAGGCCTACTGATAGTACCTGTTAATATTGCAAAATATTCGAGGAGTAATATTTTTATTCAAACGGAAATATAATCAATGTCAGCAATTGCCTTTCACGCAATATCCAAATTAATTCAAATGGGTGTCTATAAAACCATGCCTTAAATATTTCAGAATTTCTTTATAGAGATTGAACCTTGAATTGAATTACCTTACTATATCAGTCTATGTGGATCGGAGACGAAAACTATGTGAGAAGAATAGTGACTTTCTGGAATCTTAAACGGAGTGAAATAACAGTGTATTTCTTAAATATCAGAACATCATTTGTTTTGAATTTTTGTTACAAGATAATTCTTTTTTCTTGGTACTAATTAACTTGTTGACTCCTGCTTTAAGATATCTGTGGCTTTTATAGTAATATATTTACTAATAAAAGTATTCTGAAAGTGATTACTAGTATCATAACTCATAATAAGGTCATTTCAACATCCAGAGAATTTGAAAAAAGGGCTACGTTTTGGTCACACCCAGGTCAGGCATTATTCAGTCTTGAAACAGAATATGTTACAAAAATCTCAGTTGACTATTCATGTAACTGGAATGAATATTGAAACATATATTTAACCCAGATTTGATGTCATACTTCTTACAAATCATCGGCTTTTGAGGAGGTTACCAATATTTGAAGAGTGAGCCGAAGTGGTGTTTATTAGTACAACAGAGTACTAACAGAGACCCTTGACAAGCACGCACCTGCTAAGACAAAAACTGTGAACCTTCGCCCGAGCACACCTTGGTGTAATGAAAGCATTCGTCAAGCAAAGAATCTCCGTAGGATGCTGGAGCACAAGATGAGACAGTCAAAACTTGTGATTGATCGTCAGATATACAGTTCTCAGCGCAACCTGGTCAATCAGCTTGTAGATGAAGCAAAGCAGTCAAACGACAACAGCGTCATCAACCAAGCGAAATCCCAGAAGGAAGTGTTTAGTGCAAGTAACAATCTGCTGTTCAGGAAAAAGAACAACACCCTCCCAGCCCACGCTTCTGCAGAAAAAATGGCTGAAACATTCCTGTCTTTCTTCAACGATAAAATCCTTAAGATCAGATCCCGACTAGTGAATAATCAAGCTGTAGATGCTGACAAAATCTGCAGTGACTCACATCATCAAGCATATCTCCATGTTTTGAAACTTATCTCTTTTCAACCTGCCACATGTGACGAAATAAGGAAAGTGTTCTTGAAATGTCCAACTAAGTCCTGCTCATTGGATCCATTACCGACATGGCTTCTGAAACTGGCAGCAGATGAGATCTATACTACTTTAACACAAATTGTAAATCTCTCACTGACAAGTTGTGAAGCTCCTCCATGTCTGAAGGAAGCACTTATAAGACCCCTCCTGAAGAAACCTAGTTTAGATCCTGATATCTTAAAGAACTACAGGCCTGTGTCGAACCTCACGTTTCTATCTAAGCTCATAGAGCGTGTAGTAGCCAGTCGTCTCCAAGCTCATCTCAAGACTGGAAACTTACACGAGACTATGCAGTCAGCCTACAAGTTAGGTCACAGTACGGAATCTGCTCTGATACGTGTCCAGAACGATTTGCTAATGTCTGTTGAGCTGCGTTAGTGCTACTAGACCTCTCAGCAGCCTTCGACACCATCGACCATTCCATTCTGCTGTCCCTCCTGGAGACTCGTGTCGGTGTTACTGGAGATGCTCTGAAGTGGTTTGAGTCGTACCTATGCAACCGATTCCAATCTGTAATCATCGACGGCAAAGAATCACAGAAGCAGAAGCTTGTATACGGTGTGCCACAAGGCTCGGTATTAGGTCCCATACTATTCTTCACCTTGTATACCCTACCTGTAGGAGACATTGTCAGAAAATACAATCTGGGATTTCATCTGTATGCCGACGATTCCCAGATCTACATGGGTTTCCGGCCATTCCACCCATCCTCTGTTGCTAATGCTCAGGCGACCATCGTAGATTGTGTCAAGGAGATCCAGCACTGGATGTCCACGCACTTTCTCCAACTCAACGCCGACAAGACAGAACTTATTATCTTTGGATCCAAATCTTTGCTTTCAAACTTTCAGTTCCCACCCATTGAAACTTGGTGACTGTGATGTTAAGCCCAGTTCTCAAGCAAGGAATCTAGGTGTGGTTTTTGAGTCATCCTTGTCATCTGAGCGACACGTAGATGCTGTATGCAGGTCATGCTACTACCGTCTGAGAAACATCAGCTTGATCAAGAAGCATATTGGTACGGATGCAGTCAAGACTCTAGTTAATGCGTTTGTCACATCTCGCATAGACTACTGCAATAGTCTATTGTATGGGGCATCGGAATACTCACTCTCCAGACTCCAGAGAGTGCACAACAGTGCAACCAGAGTAATCACCAACACCAGACGTCGAGATCACATCTCCCCGGTCTTACGAGACCTCCATTGGCTGCCAGTGACAACGTATCCAGTTCAAGATCCTGGTGTTTGTTTTCAAATCGCTGCATGGTCTAGCTCCTGAGTATATCAGTGAACTCCTATCAACCTACACTCCAGGGAGAGAGCTAAGGTCAAGACCATCAAGAGCACTGGATGTTCCTATGACTAGGAAAAGACACTATGGAGATAGATCGTTCTCCAAAGCCGGGCCCTGGCTCTGGAACCGTCTTCCTCGGCACATTCAGAACATTGTCAATCTCGACCAGTTTAAACGACAACTAAAAAACCTACTTGTTCAACATAGCCTTCGCCTAAGCGCCTTTGAGCAATATGTTGGAACAGGCGCTATACAAATATTAACTTTATTATTAAGATGTTGATGTTGGACAATTGTTCAAGGTTTGTTGATGGTTATTTGGAGTGAGTGAGTGAGTGAGTTGGGTTTTACGCCGCTTTTAGCAATATTCCAGCAATATCACGGCAGGGGACACCATAAATGGGCTTCACACATTGTGCCCATGTGGGGATTCGAACCCGGGTCGTCAGCGTGACGAGCCGACGCTTTAACCATTAGGCTACCCCACCGCCCCGGATATTTGGAAAATGAGCTTTATATTAAATTGCACACTGGTTTGGAGGAGGTGAAAGCTTCAGGGCATTTTCATGTCTGTTTTCCTAACCAGTTCTCATGACTTTTACCAAATTTTGAAACAATTTTAATATATTTTTTGATGACACTAGTAAGTATCTCAGAAAAGGAAATAGATCAAAATTAGTGTTATGTCCATTAGGGATATGGTCTCAGGTATAATAAAGCAAAGATTATCATTATTTAAGAAACAGTGATGTCAATATGTAATTTTATTGACAAAAAGCTTTGAACATAGGATATATTGTTTGTGCCTTATTGACGTTAGTAGTTAGCAGTTACATATCTCTGAAGAAAAGGCAGATATTTGTAGTTTGTGTAACATTCTATTTCAATCCTAGTTAATTGTTTGGATAACTGTGGATCCTCTGGTCACAGATTTTGCATCACAGGTTTCCTATTTCTGGAAGATGCGTCAGTGTACAGGTGCAGACTGTATCCTGGATCTTCTTTGTGTTCTGGTGCTGTGACGTACCTGTACATACATGCTGGCAGTTCATGAAGTCCAGTATTGTGGAAGTTTGTAAATTAAGTTTCTACATCAAAGTACACATAGACAATGAAACTGGAAAGGATTTCCTTATATACGGTGTCATTTCAGGAAGGTGTATTGATTTTGAAGAGGGACATTTTACTGAGAATTGCTGCTGATTAGCTGCTGAATATTTTCTTCTGGGTATGTCCAGATACATCCATGGAAACATAATGTTTACAAGCCCAATCACATTTTCCAGATTCCCCAAAGAGATCAAATAGGTTATGCTGTGATTGATTTGTTACATAAATATTTACAGACAAATAAGGTGCACGAAGTAGTAGACGGGAAATATTTTTCTGCTTTGTTCATTAAAAGGTAGAATTCTATGTTTTCACATTATTGATGTAACTAAATTTGAACAACGAATAAATACATAAAGGCGCCAATCTATTTATAGATACCGAAACGATCTGCAACTTGAACACGTGGTTGTGTTCACGGATTTTTATATAATTACGATGGGAATTTTTGAGAAAAACAAACAAATAACATAATTCAGTTACCCGTCCTCTGCTAATATCTGATATTTAGACGGACGTGAATTGCTAAATAGAGTATTTGGTACGAAAGAAAATACGCTTCCTACTCTCAGCAGCTGGTCGGGACGATTTTTCATCGGGCATGTAACTCATTTTCACACGCCAGTTGCAATCTGTCAACTAAAATCTATTAACATAAAATACGTATAATTATCCTTTTTAAATATCATTCACAAACGACGGATACCAAAGTACCACAAGAGAATTCATCAACAACGTTCGCAGTCACGTTTCCCCGGCGGTGACGCCATGGTGATTCGTCAGTGGTTGTCCCCCCTAACGTCAAAAACGAAGTGGGCGGGGCTTATCGGCGGGGACTGGATCGGCCTATTGCCTCGGTTTGAAGATGACGCTCACGAAAAACTAACACCGCATGTGAAGCATGTGAGTAAGTGATAATCTAAATACCTGATCATTTATGTAAACTTTTCGGAAATACAAGACCTAACTCAAAGTATTCAGTGATTGAGGAATGTATCTCATCATTAACATCACTGCCTCGTGCAGAGTCTCTGAAGGTAACACTAGACATCACAGGTCGCCACTATACTTATTGAAACTGAAGTGTTAAATACAAGTCAGTAGCCAACAGGATCAATACACATCCTGGGGCAATTTCCACAACACTTCCTGTTGCCGGGACAGTCTCGGTCTGTGCTGCAATGTGGATTCAGAGGACAAGATGGTAGGGACTCCGGGCACTGGGAGAGTTTAGGACACACCCCATTCTTCACAGTTGATATGGGTACTTTACATACTCTGGGGCAGCTTCCACAACACTTCCTGTCGCCAGGACAATCGGCGTCGTGGTCACATCTCGCTGTACACAGCCCTGTGATGGGAGACTCCACGGGACACACGCCAAGCTTCACTGAAACAGAAGCGACTGTTGGGGAGATAGGTTGGCTCGTAACGCGTCTGTACGGTCAGATTACCCATACTAAACACTGAGTTGTATGTTTGATGTATAACGTCTGAAAGACAAATTAACATGACACTGATTACAAATCTGAACACTGAGCTGTATGTTTGATGTATAACGTCTGGAAGACAAATTAACATGACACTGATTACAAATCTGAACACTGAGCTGTATGTTTGATGTATAACGTCTGGAAGACAAATTAACATGACACTGATTACAAATCTGAACACTGAGTTGTATGTTTGATGTATAACGTCTGGAAGACATATTAACATGACACTGATTACAAATCTGAACACTGAGTTGTATGTTTGATGTATAACGTCTGGAAGACATTAACATGACACTGATTACAAATCTGAACACTGAGTTGTATGTTTGATGTATAACGTCTGGAAGACATATTAACATGACACTGATTACAAATCTGAACATTGAGTTGTATGTTTGATGTGTAACGTCTGGAAGACATATTAACATGACACTGATTACAAATCTGTTTGTGATGCCTGGTCCACTGATTCCACGATCTGCGAGTGTATTTGTGGTGACTCGGAGGTGTGACTGCCAAGTCTCACTTATAGGAATCCCAAGGTCACTGCTTCGACTCACGGAGATTAGTATCACACGCGGGCAACCTAAACTAAAATCAGGGAAGGCATTATCTAACTATATTCAACATGTACGATGTGCTCACCTTGGGGTACACACTCAGGACGTGGTGGTGGACATGGACCCAGGATGCAGTGAGAGAACCGGACTTTACACGCCATGTTGGGGGGACACCACTTGATCTGCAATATGGGTGTTCAAGCTGATTGAACATTTGGAGAGTTTTACATTAGATTCTTCTCAAACAACAGAACTTAGTGTGTTTAATACGTTGTCCTCGGGTCGTGTCTTGATTATTTCAAAAACGTGAAACTGTTAATTCTCATGCTGGTTTTAACTTAAAGGACATACGACAGGCGAGGCTGATGGCGAGGACAGTCTTATTTCGGAATTCTTTAAGACATCGAAGGATATATTGGTAGCGTATATTGAGGTTTAATTATAGCGTTAGCTTTGCATCTGTACGACTAGTGGAATAGTGGAGTACAGGTAGTATTATTCCATAGTATAAAAACTGGTGATCACCTAAATCCCAACGTTTTCAGAATTGGTGACATGTTAGGTTCATCAGACAAATTATATGCATCTGTCCCGAATGCAAAGCAGTCTTTCTGGACTATAGCTACTCCCTGTGAAATATGTTGCCGTCCCAAGCAGGCTTTAGACATGGACACGATACAGGTGACAATATTCTTCAGCCTGTGATAGAACATATTTTATCAAGGAATGAGTGAGTGAGTTTGGTTTTACGCCGCTTTTAGCAATATTCCAGCAATATCACGACGGGGGACACCAGAAATAAGCTTCACACATTGTACCCATGTGGGGAATCTTATCAAGGAATGAAGTTTGTCAGGTTTGTCAGGTGTTGTTTTTGCACATGATATGTTTGACATGATATATCTTCAAACGATTGTGAGCAGTATCTCATTGCTGTCAAATTAGATTTGAATTGATGATCCGTTATCAAAATAGGGCATGCTATGCATTGACAAACATCATTTCGTTCTGGTTTGTACTGTTTACCAACAGATATAAATATATTCCACAAATATACCGTACCATATTTTCCCGACATTAGATACGTGTATTAAGTTATTGTCGTTCAGTAATGTGGCCACTCTACAATTAACTCTTTCTACTCATATAGCAATGAACCTCTTTGTTCGTTAATAGTTAAATGGTGAATGTTCTCTCTCTGTCTCTGTACCTTTGTAATGTAGTATGACCCATGGGCTGCACTACACTGTACCTTTGTAATGTAGTATGACCCATGGGCTGCACTACACTGTACCTTTGTAATGTAGTATCACATGGGCTGCACTACACTGTACCTTTGTAATGTAGTATCACATGGGCTGCACTACACTGTACCTTTGTAATGTAGTATGACCCATGGGCTGCACTACACTGTACCTTTGTAATGTAGTATGACCCATGGGCTGCACTACACTGTACCTTTGTAATGTAGTATGACCCATGGGCTGCACTACACTGTACCGTTGTAATGTAGTATGACCCATGGGCTGCACTACACTGTACCGTTGTAATGTAGTATGACCCATGGGTTACACTACACTGTACCCTTTGTAATGTAGTATGACCCATGGGCTACACTACACTGTACCGTTGTAATGTAGTATGACCCATGGGCTGCACTACACTGTGCTTTGTAATGTAGTATGACCCATGGGCTACACTACACTGTACCGTTGTAATGTAGTATGACCCGATGGGCTGCACTTTTCACACTGTACCTTTAGTAATGTAGTATGACCCATGGGCTACACTACACTGTACCTTTGTAATGTAGTATGACCAATGGGCTACACTACACTGTACCTTTGTAAAGTAGTATGACATGGGCTACACTACACTGTACCTTTGTAATGTAAAGTATGACCCATGGGCTGCACTACACTGTACCTTTGTAATGTAGTATGACCCATGGGCTACACTACACTGTACCTTTGTAATGTAGTATGACCCATGGGCTACACTACACTGTACCTTTGTAATGTAGTATGACCCATGGGCTACACTACACTGTACCAGCAAATTTGTAAAGTAATTATGACATGGGCTACACTACACTGTTCCTTTGTAATGTAGTATGACCCATGGGCTGCACTACACTGTACCTTTGTAATGTAGTATGACCCATGGGCTACACTACACTGTACCTGTTTAATGCAGTATGACCCATGGGCTGCACTACACTGTACCTTTGTAATGTAGTATGACCCATGGGCTACACTACACTGTACCTTTGTAATGTAGTATGACCCATGGGCTACACTACACTGTACCGTTGTAATATGGTATGACCCATGGGCTTACTACACTGTACCTTTGTAATGTGAGTATGACCCATGGGCTACACTACACTGCAGCACCTTTGTAATGTAGTATGACCCATGGGCTGCACCACACTGTACCTTTGTAATGTGAGTATGACCCATGGGCTGCACTACACTGTACCTTTGTAATGTAGTATGACCCATGGGCTACACTACACTGTACCTTTGTAATGTAGTATGACCCATGGGCTACACTACACTGTACCTTTGTAATGTAGTATGACCCATGGGCTACACTACACTATTACCGTTGTAATGTAGTATGACCCATGGGCTGCACTACACTGTACCTTTGTAATGTAGTATGACCCATGGGCTGCACTACGAAGGGAATAAAGGCTACTAATGTGTCTGCTTTTCACTTTTAGGAACCACATCTTGCTTATGGTCAGTTCACTCAACAAGACTGTGTGTGCAGCAGGTGTGAGCTAGATTATATCACACACACACTTTACTACAGCTATCCCCTTATATCACATACACTTTACTAGTTATCCACTTATATCACAAGCACTTTACTAATTATCCCTTATTTCACACACACTTTTACTAAAGTTATCCCCCTTATATCACATACACTTTTACTACAGTTATCCCCTATATCACACACACTTTACTACAGTTATCCCCTTATATCACACACGCTTAACTACAGTTATCCACTTATATCACACACGCTTTACTAAAATTATCCCCTTATATCGCATACGCTTTCCTACGGTTATCCCCTTATATCACATACACTTTACTACAGTTATCCCCTTATATCACACACACTTTACTACTACAGTTATCCCCTTATATCACACACACACTTTACTACAGTTATCCCCTTATATCACATACACTTTACTACAGTTATCCCCTTATATCACAATACACACACTTTACTACAGTTATCCCCTTATATCACATACACTTTACTACAGCTATCCCCTATATCACATACACTTTACTACAGTTATCCCCTTACATCACATACACTTTACTACAGTTATCCCCTTATATCACATACACTTTACTACAGCTATCCCCTTACATCACATACACTTTACTAGTTATCCCCTTATATCACATGTACTTTACTATAGTTATCACCTTATATCACATACACTTTACGACAGTTATCCCTTATATCACACACACTTTACTATAGCTATCCTTATATCCCACACACTTTACTAGTTATCCCCTTATATCACATGCACTTTACTATATTTATCTCTTTATATCACATACACTTTACTCTAGTTATCCCCCCAACCGAGACCTTGTGAGATGTATAAAACAAGATCAGTTTGTTAAGTAAACGTTTACATTTACAACAGCAGTAAAGTTGTTCAACAAGGTGTGCATGGGCAACTGCAGGTAATATCGTGCAGTAATAGAGTGGAACTAGTATACCTACTGTACATGGGTCAGGTAATATCGTGCATTAATAGCGTGGAACTAGAACACCTACTGTACATGGGTCAGGTAATATCGTGCAGTAATAGAGTGGAACTAGTATACCTACTGTACATGGGTCAGGTAATATCGTGCATTAATAGAGTGGAACTAGTATACCTACTGTACATGGGTCAGGTAATATCGTGCATTAATAGCGTGGAACTAGAACACCTACTGTATTATGGGTCAGGTGGTTATATCGTGCAGTAATAGAGTGGAACTAGTATACCTACTGTTGCATGGGTCAGGTAATATCGTGCATTAATAGAGTGGAACTAGTATACCCTACTGTACATGGGTCAAGGTAATATCGTGCATTAATAGCGTGGAACTAGAACACCTACTGTACATGGGGTCAGGTATTATCGTGCAGTAATAGAGTGGAACTAGTATACCTACTGTACATGGGTCAGGTAATATCGTGCAGTAATAGAGTGGAACTAGGCATACCTCACTGTACATGGGTCAGGGTAATATCGTGCAGTAATAGAGTGGAACTAGTATATACCACCGTACATGGGTCAGGTAATATCGTGCATTAATAGCGTGGAACCAGAACACCTACTGTACATGGGTCAGGTAATATCGTGCAGTATAGAGTGGAACTAGTATACCTACTGCACATGGGTCAGGTAATATCGTGCATTAATAAAGCGTGGAACCAGAACACCTACTGTACATGGGTCAGGTAATATCGTGCAGTAACAGTATGGGAACTAGAACACCTACTGTACATGGGTCAGGTAATATCGTTACCGCAGTAACGAGTGTGGAACTAGAACACCTACTGTACATGGGTCAGGTAATATCGTGCAGTAATAGAGCGAAAGTAGAATATCTACTGTACATGGGTCAGGTGAAATCGTGCATTACTATATCGGTAGTATTTTTCCTGTACCACGATTGGTCAAAAACCGTCACGCGGATTGACCACAAAACACGATATTGACTTGAGGTTTTCTGATAAATTACGATATTGACTTGGGTTACTAAAAATAGACAAGGAATCCCGTACGAAGGGGCTTCTCCAACTTTTTCAGCCAATCAGATCACTCGGATAGATGGCCAGTGTGTGCATTAAAAGTTTCTGTTAAAACCCGTGTCTCTTTCATTATATAATAAAAACAATTATAGACTGTTGTAGAGGTCGATATCAGTTTTTATTGACCTGAGAAAAACAATATTGTTTTACTCAGGTCAATAAAAACCGATAACGACTTCTACAAGAGTCTATAATTGTATAGTAATAGCGTGGAACTAGAATACCTACTGCACACGCGTCAGGTGATATCGTGCAGTTATAGAGTGGAACTAGTGTACCTAGTGTATATGCTTCAGGTAATATCGTGCAGTAATAGAGTGGAACTAGTATACCTACTGTACATGCGTCAGGTGATATCGTGCAGTAATAGAGTGGAACTAGAATACCTACTGTACATGCTTCAGGTGATATCGTGCAGTAATAGAGTGGAACTAGAATACCTACTGCACATGCGTCAGGTAATATAATTCAGTAATAGAGTGGAACTAGAATACCTACTGCACATGCGTCAGGTGATATCGTGCAGTAATAGAGAGGAACTAGAATACCTACTGTACATGAGTCAGGTAATATCGTGCAGTAATAGAGAGGAACTAGAATACCTACTGTACATGGGTCAGGTGATATCGTGCAGTAATAGAGAGGAACTAGAATACCTACTGTACATGGGTCAGGTGATATCGTGCAGTAATAGAGAGGAACTAGAATACCTACTGTACATGGGTCAGGTGATATCGTGCAGTAATAGAGTGGAACTAGAATACCTACTGCACATGCGTCAGGTAATATCATTCAGTAATAGAGAGGAACTAGAATACCTACTGCACATGCGTCAGGTAATATCATTCAGTAATAGAGAGGAACTAGAATACCTACTGTACATGGGTCAGGTAATATCGTGCAGTAATAGAGAGGAACTAGAATACCTACTGCACATGCGTCAGGTCATATCGTGCGGTAATAGAGAGGAACTAGAATACCTACTGTACATGATTCTGGTAATATCGTGCAGTAATAGAGAGGAACTAGAATACCTACTGTACATGGGTCAGGTGATATCGTGCAGTAATAGAGAGGAACTAGAATACCTACTGTACATGCGTCAGGTAATATCGTGCAGTAATAGAGAGGAACTAGAATACCTACTGTACATATGTCAGGTGATATCGTGCAGTAATAGAGAGGAACTAGAATACCTACTGTACATGTGTCAGGTGATATCTTGCAGTAATAGAGAGGAACTAGAATACCTACTGTACATGGGTCAGGTGATATCGTGCAGTAATAGAGTGGAACTAGAATACCTACTGCACATGCGTCAGGTAATATCGTGCGGTAATAGAGAGGAACTAGAATACCTACTGTACATGATTCAGGTGATATCGTTCAGTAATAGAGAGGAACTAGAATACCTACTGTACAAGGGTCAGGTGATATCGTGCAGTAATAGAGTGGAACTAGAATACCTACTGTACATGGTTCAGGTGACATCGTGCAGTAATAGAGTGGAACTAGTGTACCTACTGTACATGTTTCAGGTGACATCGTGCAGTAATAGAGAGGAACTAGTGTACCTACTGTACATGGTTCAGATGACATCGTGCAGTAATAGAGAGGAACTAGTGCACCTACTGTACATGGTTCAGGTGACATCGTGCGGTAATAGAGTGGAACTAGTGTACCTACTGCGTACATGGTTCAGGTGACATCGTGCGGTAATAGAGAGGAACTAGAATACCTACTGCACACATGGTTCAGGTGACATCGTGCAGTAATAGAGTGGAACTAGTGTAATTCCTACTGTACATGGTTCAGGTGATATCGATGCAGTAATAGAGTGGAACTAGTGTACCTACTGTACATGGTTCAGGTGACATCGATGCAGTAATAGAGTGGAACTAGTGTACCTACTGTACATGGTTCAGGTGACATCGTGCGGTAATAGAGTGGAACTAGTGTACCTACTGTACATGGTTCAGGTGACATCGTGCGGTAATAGAGAGGAACTAGAATACCTACTGCACATGCGTCAGGTAATATCGTGCAGTAATAGAGTGGAACTAGTGTACCTACTGTACATGGTTCAGGTGACATCGTGCAGTAATAGAGAGGAACTAGTGTACCTACTGTACATGGTTCAGGTAATATCGTGCAGTAATAGAGAGGAACTAGAATACATACTGCACATGCGTCAGGTAATATCGTGCGGTAATAGAGAGGAACTAGAATACCTACTTACATGGTTCAGGTGACATCGTGCAGTAATAGAGAGTGGAACTAGTGTACCTACCGCACATGGTTCAGGTGACATCGTGCAGTAATAGAGTGGAACTAGCGTATTTACCTACTGTACATGGTTCAGGTGACATCGTGCAGTAATAGAAAGGAACCATAGAATACCTACTGCACATGGTTCAGGTGACATCGTGCAGTAATTTTAGAACCAAGGTAGTACCGGTATATCGCAATACGCTTTTCAAACGACACATATTGCAATATTTTTCTGAGAACCGTTATATTGGGTTAAAACATATATGAAGTTTTGTGATTATCGTTATGGTTTAAAACTAAAATCTACATATACAATGTAATTTCATTCACAACGAATGTTATTCGTTATTCAATGACAAAACGGCATACTGTAATGCTTACAGAAAATTATAAAAGAACATAGAATCCTGACTATGCAACCCAATTTTTGAGATAGCTGTGCCATAACATATATGTTAAAATACTTATAATGTAGAAAATCGGATTGACATGCACAATTAGTATCACTCACTGTCAAACAATTAAGCTCCCAATATATGGCAATATGTATCGCAATACAGGTACCTGAATCGCAATATATTGCAATACAATATATTTGCCGATACACAGCCCTAGCAGTAATAGAGTGGAAATAACACCTACTGCACATGGGTCAGGTCTGTGACTGTACGCAATGCAGCTGGTCACACAGCAGAGAATCACCTGGAAATGTATTGAAGACACCTTTATGTAGTTATCGCTATTCAAAAAGTGTACATTGGTATGCAGTGAAATCCACGCCCCAATATGTATTTCAATAAGATGAATAGTGTGTGGTAGCCGTATAATATAGAACTTACGATTGGAAATGGTCTCCTGCAACTCATGCTTGTACTACTAACTGAACGGCCAATCAGTGGAATGCTCGAGTCCAGACTCGAATATTTACACTTATTTTAATATTCCGTGCGACTTAAAACTGTACTTCTGGTGTGAAGTTCAAGAGTTACATATCTTACAGCATGGCAGTATCTTTGTGTGGGTTATATTTCCTGGTTTGTCAAGAACATCATTGAGCTCATGGTATTCCCCCACATCATTCACATCTACAAGCGCGAGGCGTAGAGATATCGACAAGTAAATGTAAGTTTGCAACACTTACCAATGTGACAAGCGACATGTTGTGCAGCTTCTTTATGCAAGTGGAGTAAGACGGAATGAATGTGAAGGACATGTGCTCGTTAATCATGTTGACACTTGACGTGGACCACCAGACAAGCAGCATACAACGGCAAAACGTAGTCACGTTCATATAGTTTAATAATGTCACGAACAACAGACTAGGGTGAATGTTCGTGGTAAGCAAACCACCTCTCTGACCTTTCCTAACCATTTCAACCAACGTACTAATCCCTGCACTCATTTGGAGCCTATGATGACAGTTTAGCACCGCATTTCTGTATATATTCTATTTGCAGAAACAAAACACACACCTCTTGAATTCTGCAGACAACGGAAGCGTGTATCACATGTTTTGTAACATCCACAGTGATTACTGACATCTTCACAGATAGTCCCACGTGTCAGGTTTCGTGTTAATCCGCTCCATTAACATTATTTAATGTTTGTTCTTATTCACATGTCGGAGCAAACAGTCTTGCCTAGTTTCTGATCCCGTTTTCTTTGTCAAATAACAGAACATTACAAGAAATAATTCATGTTTCACCAAAGGATCCGAAAAGGGCAGGGCGACATAATTTCAAAAGGGGCACCCATCATGCAATGACAGATTATGTTAGTTATTCATGCATATGTGGCAGTGTTGCATATGTATATATCTGTATTTTACATATTTGTATATATTCACTGTTGTAATGAAATAATGTACTAATTTTTACTGTGAAGTACAGAATAAAATAAACTTCCTTTCTATTTAGCTCCTCGTTGACTTGTCTTTAATTCACCTTTAATATTATTTAACTGCCTTTGGGTAGCTGTGGGGTTAGAGTGCATAGTGTTGTGAAAGCCTAGTGATAGGGAAAGGCGCTTACCTTGCTTAGTAAGCGTAGATGATGGGGAGATCAAGCGTTCTGAATGTATACAGCAGTTTGCGTCCGTTCGGTTCTGTGTCTCGTCTTGATCTGCTAATTGTCACCTGTCAGATTTGGCGGGTAAGTTGATCACGTGCCTCGATCACACCCGGAAACATACGAGCAGCATCAGATGGCCAATCCAATGTTACCCGATGTACGAGTGTGGAAGCACTGATCACTACATTCCTCCCTCTTTTCTGGACTTGCCCCCCACTAGGACTGCAGTGAGTATGGCTAAGGGAGGATCTAACAGGGTGACCTCACAAAGACATGAGAAAAATCCCTGCAGGGTTGGGCAGCAGTGTTGTGCTATCAACCGAGACAGTTCACGTAACTCATGATTAAAGTAGGTTATACATCTGAATAAGAAAATCCCCAACCAGGTTGTTTGGTGGCAACCAAGTCGGTTAGCATAACTTAATAGATGAATTGATTAGTCCTAATAGTCCAATTATCTAAACCGGATCGATGGACTCATTTACAGTCCTGATCAAGTTAGATTTAGGACAATGCTTCACTTGGAATCTAGACCAGATCGGTGGACTCAGTTAGTCCTGAACAAGTCAGATTATGGAATCCTATTTCTATGAATGTTTGTCTTACACTCGGTAGAACTGGATCTGGTTTAGGCTGACTGGAATTGCCCACCTAAACATTGTCAACTGCACTGATCCTGAGCTTATAGGATCTGACAGCTTGAAGACCTCATACGTCGGGACTTGTTCTGTAAGGAGACACATTGACTGGATACAACACCTATATGGAATTCTCATTGTTGCCATTTTAGGACTTCATCTCTGTGGCGGATGATATATCGCTGTATGGGGCTGTTACCGTCCTTCACTGGTCGCCATTGCATGGTGCAGTGTTTGCTTTGGTTGCATGCATCACAACAGAGAGAACTACAGGGTGACAGGGAAGTTCAATGCCTATAAACATTGCTACTCTGTTGTCGTTGCCCCCTGGTGAGATGACCCGACACTTGTAGCGACTGAAGTCCTGACCAGCAATTCCAGTGATGATGAGACTGCCCTGTGGTGTGATGAGATGTCGACCTCCATTGCTGATTGGCTGTTGCACATAATCCGGCTTCTTGTAGAAGACCCATGACCTGGATGTTATGATCTCCAGGTGACACCACACCACTGCAGGGTGCACTGGTACTCAGGATGTCAGTGATATACTCTTTGTGGGGACACCCTCTGATGGTGACCTTCACCCTCTTGGTAACACTGGGAGACTGAGGGACAACCAGATATAGACCTCTCACTCATGCATTCCTGTGTCAGTATTCTTGGGTGACTTTATTGTCAGAACTCACTTGAATGGACTAAGCAGGTATCTCCCTTCACATACTATCTTCAATAGAATTGACTGGACAATCTCTGCGAAAATGGCCTGTTTTCCCCGCACTTGAAGCACTCCCCGATCTCGTTGGTGATGATGAGGGGCTTCTAAACCGTCGACTCAAGATGACTGTCAACTTCCGTATGTCTGCTGACATCTCCTCAACCCGAGCTTCCAGGTGGGTCAAACGTTCCACCACATTGTACCTTCACGGGTTGTGATGGAGTTTGCAGCTTATCCTGAGAAGGAGTGTGATTCGACTGAGAGTCATTTTGCGACACCAAGTATTCATCTTCCTCGGAATCATTGGCCAAGTTGGATTGCTTCACATCTCGCCTAATGACTGGTCTACCATATACTGCCTGGGTGTTCTGGAAGTACTTCTGTACAGCATCCATGGCTGATTCAGGGTTCTCAATCCCAGGTTTGAAACATAGTGGGCAGCTTCTTTATTAGCACATCCTTGGCAGAATCTCCGCACCACTTGTTGTTCCACAAAGTCATCTGGTAAATCCGGAAGGCAGCAATCGCAACTTGAAGTACCGCATCGCCCATTCTTCCAAGGACTTCGTCCGATTTCTGACGAAGGTTCTGAAAGTGCAGTTGGGCAGTCTCTGCATGACACTGTTTCCCAAACCACCTATCTAGTTTCTTCACCATTCCTTGGAAGGAGATAAACTCATCCCTCTCTATCAATAGGGGCAAAGAAGTCAGCTGCTTTACCGTTAGGCAGTAACACAACTGATCTAACTTTTCTTCATCCTTCCATGACTGAGAGCGAGCAAAACGTTGAAATTTCATATAAAGGAGGACCATCTTGTACTACCGTCATATAACATCCGGCGGCAGTGAAGCTGTTGGTTTATTCCCATCTGCTCGATGTTTCCTCCCAATATGTTTAGGCTGAACTTCATCTAAATTAAGCTATCCGAAGGAGTAGCCTAACGGTTCTCTCCAGGCGGCTTGATGACGATGAGGAGCTCTTTGAATCCTGTCTACCCCTCTCTCGTTACGTAGAGGTTTACACATCCTCTGCCTATCTCTGGGGGCAGGTGCGAGACCATCAGCAAAATATCCAGAATGATCTCGGAGTGGCTGGAGTTCCCGCAACTGATTGGCTTGCGGTCCACAGGATGAGTAGCATCCACCCGGCATCGATTAGGACCTTCTCGAATAATACTCCCTTGGCTCATGGTCGATATAGTCTCCATATCTGTGAGACCTTTGGGAGCGGGAATGTTGATGGCTACCATACGAATGGTCATGTGTGTCTCCATATACAGGATAATCCCTTAAGGCATGGTTAATCCTAGGGTACCCATCTGTATATCTTGACAAACCATCTTCTGTCCCAGATTCCAGATATATTTCCTCTCTAGGCCCAGCAGGGTACTGGAAGTAGGAGGCCAACAGGGTCGCTCCGTTCCGCTTAAACAGATATTCATCTCCTTCTGATTCTCTATCGGAGATTTCCCTGCTTCTCGATGCCCTCTCTCGTAGACTGTCATCTCGTACAGCTCGAGGATGATGGGACCTGGATCTAGCTGTCCCTTGGGTGGATGGGGTTTCACGTGTGTTTTTCCCCTGGGCTGAGTTAAATAGGATTGGTTGAGGGGCCATTTTTTTGGTTTGGCCTGTCCCCCTCCGTTCCCTATACCCAGGGGTTAGAGCATGTCTCTAGGGGACATTCCCGTCAGCACCTTGGAGGACCCGAGGGTCGATCTCCTCAGTATTGGGCTTTGTCCTTGAACTCTGCCGTGACACGTCCATACCATGTACCACAGAATGAGGGTTAGGCATGGGTGCCTTGGCAAGACGGCCAGATACCGGATTTTTAGGGCCACTGGCTCCCAGATTGGCAAGAACATCAGTAAAAGCTTCCATTTCCCTGTTGAAATCATGAGGCCGCCTGCCACTGGTCATAGAGAGCACTATGACTCTGTGGAGTAAGTCCTCTACGCCTGGCCTGCAAGTTGGTTTCCGCATATTCCAACTGTCTTAAGTTGGACTGAATAGCATCAGCGTCAGTACTGGTGACTGGTTTCTGGAACCTTTGATCAGTATCGGACAATCTACCTGGTGTACCTTCGGTGACAGGGGTAAACTGTCCAAAACTGATTTAGATTTGGATGTGGATGGTGCAGCTTGCCCTGAAGCCTGTTGCTCCACCATCCTCGGAGACCAAGAGCCTGCAGTTGAGATACCAGGATATTCCACAGCGAAGGAGATGGCGCTAAGAGCCTGCTCAGGGTTCCTGATAGAGGGAGATCACGGAAATCCTCCTCCGTCAGTACACCGAGGGTCTCTCTGAGTTCCACAATTTTCCGGGCCAGTTTCATCCCTATTCCCGGAATAAGCCTGAGTTCCTCCTCAGAGCACAGATTAACAAATACTGCTGGCATGATTGGATTATCTGAAATAATCCAACAACCATATACTTAATATATGATAAATTAGTACAAGTTATAAATAACCCCATTTTTGGAACGAATACAGTTGGGAAAGGAACATAAGTGTCCGAGCCTTCCTGCAGTATTCTTGCTCTTAATACTACAACCTGAGGTAAGACCAAGCTGACCTATAGGTACTTATATGGTAGCTGTATAACCTTAAACTAACCTAGCTAAAGAGTTGCCAATATTATGGATAAGACAAACTCTATATATGTCAAAGGATAGAAGGTGGAGGTTACAGCCCATGTGACGAGTCTACACCTGAGCAAAAGAGACCATGGCGGCAGAGAAGACCCGAGACATACGATCAACCACAGCCACCACCGATAGAGAACCGATACCAACCCAAACAACAC